TTGTACAGGGACACGTGCTGATTGTGTGTGAAGTGAAAAGTCTATATTGTACAGGGACACGTGCTGATTGTGTGTGAAGTGAGAAGTCTATATTGTACAGGGACACGTGCTGATTGTGTGTGAAGTGAAAAGTCTATATTGTACAGGGACACGTGCTGATTGTGTGTGAAGTGAGAAGTCTATATTGTACAGGGACACGTGCTGATTGTGTGTGAAGTGAAAAGTCTATATGTGAGGCAGTGTGGTGAAATCAGACGCTCATGAAAATAATGAAATTGAAGAACTTGGCATTTTAATTTTTCCTCCGGTTAAGACATTTTTAAATCAAAATTTTGTTTTTTGGCCCAACATCTTTGATGTTCATTGAAGAACCCATTTCTATGTGGATTTTACTAAATAACCTTGATTGAAGGTACACAAATGTAAATTTCCAGTCTCACACTATGTAAATAATCAAGGTTTGGCAGCAATTTGCTTGCAAATTTTACTAAAGAATTCGGGCGACCCCCACCTCCTTCAATTGCTAATATCTCAATTGTATTCAAGGTAAATGGGGTTGTCTTTCTTCGAAAATTAGGCAAATGAACAAGATTTAAGCTACCAATTACTCCACATGTCCAGGAATTGACGAGCGCCTGATTCCACCGTGTCGTGACACGTATTTTACAGAGAGACAAGGTGTTCACATCTTTTTACGTGGATGAAACACCAGTTTGCTACCTTTTATGCTTTTCAGACGTGGAATCCTTTTTCTGATTTCTAACGGCCTTGGTCATATGTTCACCGTTGTTCATACCTGGGTTACATTTTTTTTTTTGTTGTTGTAGGTCTGATTTTGTTGATCGTTCTTTGCCCTTCCTAGCGTGACTTTTAAAAAAATAAGTTACTTGTTTTTGTTTTATAACTTTTGGTCCTTTCTTTACTGTTCATTGGGCTGCAAGTAAATCCACACAAAAAAGTGCATATCTTCATTCTGAGAATGTTTTTGTACTTTGTATATTTCAGACTTGCTTGCGCAACAAGGAGGAAGTCATAGTGATCCCCAAAACTTCTTCATCCTCTGACAACTCTTGGATGGGACTAACAAAGTACTTGTGGTCAGGGTAAGTCTCTTGTGTTCCCTACTGTGGTGTGGTCAGGGTAAGACCTACTGTGTGGGGGGGGGGGGGATGACATATTTTTGTGTGTTCTATCTGGCATGTCTTGTTCCAACCGACAATTCCTTTAGACTGATGTTTTGATTCTGTTGCATATATGCTGTGGGCCCCCCCCCCCCCCCCCCCTCGGACACGTCTAGATTGTGTTCCTATGCTTTTGAAGCACTTTTCTCATTTCTGTTCTAGTGGGATCGCATTTTTCAGACTGTCTTTCCACACAGTAGTACCTTTCCTACCGTTGCGTAGGTAGTGATGTCATCATCACATGGGCTCAGGAGATTGAGATTAGGGCTGGACTTAGTTTTGTGTAAAAGTATTTTCTGTTTTCCTGCTATGACAAAGTCCTTAGGTTGTTGGATACACAAGCCCCAAGTATTTTTTTAATCCCTTATATCCTCAGCCTTGTGATCTGACCGGCCAACCCTCAAAATATTTTTAAACATTATTTTTGACAAATCGATTGTTAATTATCCATTTCATATGCTCCATTTAAGACAGGTTGAACTTTGACTTGAAACACTCCTGTACCGAATAAGTTTTTGCTTTTCATATATAATTTGCTTCACTGGCTTTGGCTGGTCTTATCACAAAAGGGATGATATTATGTAGGAGTACAATTTACCTCAGTATCGCTCATAATATTTAGGGTTCACTGATTTTCCCTTGTTCGTTCATCTATTATATATTTGGTGATTTGGAAACACATGTGTCATTTTTCCCATAAAATTCGACTGCTACAGAGTTGAAAGTTGACAAGTACGTGCAAAAAAGATAGATAGGTCGCCATGACAGAGCCTGATTTTTTATTTATTCATTTCCTGAATTTAGAAGAATATATTTGACAAAAAATTCCCATCCTTCTTTGGCCTTTGTGATTATTCCACTGAGAAACTAAACAAATCTGGTTAGCTGTCCTTCACAGCGGAAGTGATATTTCGCGAGGCGCATTTTGTTTTGAGAGTATAGATCTAGACCTTCTAATTTTTTGCATCTCTCAAGATTTATTGCTCCATTCCAGTAGAGTGTAAATATAGAAGGCCAATGACTTCCAGATGATGTTAATGCACCTGTCATTCGTTTCATCGAAAGGGGTCCCAGCTAGTTCACAGATATGAGTGACAGGTGATGTGAAGAATAAATGTCTGGTTTGTTTCAGGTATGTGTATGAGTGTCGTAACTGTGGAATCATTTACCGGAGTCGCGAGCACTGGTATGGGAATGAGGATGAGGAGAAGGTTCTGCACGTGGAGTATCGACATGTCTGGCCTCAGGTGTGTGCCGGTTTTCTTCTTTACAGTGTGTCAAACTGAGACAAAGAAGCATATATGTGATCACCTTACATATATTTTTATGGTTTCAATCTAATACATATTGTTGGTGTCTGACTCTGTGCATCCGCCAAACTAGCTCAGACATTGTTTTTTATATCAAATTTTGTTATTCACAACCATTATACTCCAGTCAGTTGAACAAAAATAGAATACCTTTGAAATCAGAATGTAGCTGCCTGAAGGCAATGGGCCATACGAAATAGGGAACACGGTCGCAATTCGTAAAAATCAATTTGGCTGCCAGTTGAAGAATGAAGAACCAACCCAACAGTCCACTGCCTTTGAGATCTAGCAAGGGAATGCAGAGAAGAAGACAACTGCACGGTGATTACAATTGGTGATACTATGATAAGTTAAGTGAACACTCTGCACAAAACTTTGAGCAATTCTAGTTGATAATAAGAAAGAACTCAGGGTTTTCCCTACTTTTCTGAAGATCAATGTTCAAATGCATACATGGTCACGGTCAGGTATCAATGATATATGTTGCATCCTTTCCTTCAGGAGAATCTGCTTCTTTAACAATCTTACAGTGATGCAAGAAACCAATACAGTTTCCCACTTTTTTTAATGTTCCAGGGAATGTATGAATTACGTTTTTCAGGTCACAATGAGAGCCACGTGCTGTCTTGAAAATATCTTGTTTTGTGATTAGTTGGATGTTAAAGGGCCAGTAGTTTTCAGTTGTTAAAAGAACAGACAACGGCCTTTTAATCTCACGTTTTTAGCCTATGGTATGGTGTGTATTTAAGACACGTACCTACATAGCAAAATTAGCACGTAGCAAAAAGATTTCTGTTGCCTGCCAATTTGGTTGTGGGCATGCTTGACGTGTATTCTCATCTTTCCCCTTTTGTTCATCTTTCCCCTTGTGTTCACCACCAGACCTGTATTCTCATCTTTCCCCTTGTGTTCCCCACCAGACCTGTATTCTCATCTTTCCCCTTGTGTTCCCCACCAGACTGTAAGTGTATTCTCATCTTTCCCCTTGTGTTCACCACCAGACATGTATTCTCATCTTTCCCCTTGTGTTCACCACCAGACATGTATTCTCATCTTTCCCCTTGTGTTCATCTTTTCCCCTGTGTTCCCCACCAGGGTGTCTCCACCCTCGACGGCACTCACAACGCGGCGCGGAAGGTTCTGGAGGGTTTCCACTACCTGGCCGACACCATCAGCAGCGTGAGCTCGGGCCCCACCAAAGTCCTGAGTGAGTGGACGGCCGACAAGATCAACCCCGCCTACTGGGTACCCAACTCGGAGATCATAGTGAGTATCTTTTAGATTTTTAGTAGGAGTTTTACGGCGCTTGCAGCGCAATTACGTCATACAAATACTGAAGATTGGAGATGAATTAAAAACTGAACAGATACTGCATGGAGTCCAGAAATTGAGCTAGAAATTTGTGTCTTCTTGAGTAAATTTTTTTGGGTGAACACTAACTCTCTGCTATATATTCAAGCTCATAAGTGATTGTGATAAGATCATAAGCCTCTACAAGGTGGCAACTGGCAATTGTGCTTGAAATTTTTTTTTTAATTTTGGATTACAAAGGGGTATACAAGTATGGATGTGCTGGACATCGTAGAACACATTCTGTTATAGGAATGAGCAAAGTTCTGTCACGATTTTCATAATGGTAAATAAATGATAATAGATTACATTTTTTTTTAATTCCCTTTGGGAAATTTTGTTACAACGGCAAACATTCATTCATAAAGACATAATTAAACGCACAATTATACATACTTTAAACAAAACTAAATTCACAATATATGTTTTGCGTCTGCCAGAAATGTTCTGGCTGTGAGATGCTGTTCACGTGTTCGGAGCAGAAGCATCATTGCCGAGCCTGTGGCAAAGGTTTCTGTGCCGATTGCTCATCTCGCCGCAAACCCGTGCCAGAGAGAGGGTGGGGGGAGGAGCCGGTCAGGGTCTGTGACAAGTGCTACAACCGAAAAGACACAGGTATGATTATGATGTGCTGTTCGCGTTCTTTTTGTTGTGTCGTGAAGTTGGTTTTTGCAGTCGAAATTGTCCAAGACTGCCACCCATTGTAGAGGAGAAAAGTGTGGGTGGTTGGCGGGTGCTCTGGTTTGGTTTGCTTCTTCTTTCCTATCCGACATCTATCGTCCTTATCTCCCCTCCTTCTTTTTTAATGTTTGTTACTCTCTTGTAACACATCTATTCTTCTGGCGCTCATATGACCTGATGCAGTTGCGAGCGCCGTAAAACCTCTACTTAAACTAAACTAAAAAGAGGAGAAAAGTGGTTGTCTTAGTCAGGTGGACATCTTGGGTAGGGTCGTTATGATATTTTGAAAATACCTTTTAGGGTGTGGGGGGGGTCGTTTGTACAGGTGATTGTCTTGAACAGGTTGCCGCGAGAGCAGGTTCAACTGTATATCGGTACTAGTATCAAGTTTGACGTTTATAATATAGGGGGGGGGGGATGTCAGAATCGAAGACAATTAAATGTTCAAGATATAGCTTGACTGTGTTTATGTCTGTTTGTGGCGTTTATGATACTGCAAGTCCCGACCAGCTGAAAAGTGTGAAGATGTTTAGTCTATGTAAAACATGAACTTCCTCCAATATTTGTCTGTATTCCTTTGGACACTTTGGTTGTCTCCAGATGCCTTGAGCACTTCCTCTGAGCAGACAGCACTCACAGCTCGCAAGGTTGGAGAAGCTTTCTCGTCTACCTTCTCCGTTGTTGCCTCAGCACTGGACTACCCAATGGGTGAGTACATTTTTTTTTTTTTTGTGGTTTAAGTACAGACCTCTCCAACTCATTTATTTTTAAAAAATAATTTGAGTAGTATGTGTTGCATAAGTGAAATGTTAATTGCTGCAAAAAAAATGTTATCATTGTCTCACAAATTGTTCTGTACACCGTTCGATTACTGTATTTTAAAATATAGCAAAGAAAACAAATCTCCACTCTTTTCGTGAACATAATGCGCACACATTGAATTCCATTGTCCTTTCATTGCTCCAGCTCTGAATAAAATACTGACTGTTAGTGCAGCAGTGTATAAACTTTTGGTTAATAAATAGTCATCAGAATGTGACTGATCCGTCAACCCATTCTCTTGCTCTTCAGTTTCTTTCCCACGAGTCTTAAAATCCCACACACTGTTGGAGAAGATGGTCTTCTTTTTTTTCTTTTTTTTACAGATTATTGTCACCGTATAGCGAGATAGGATGATTATTTGCTTGCTTCCATTTATGTTTAAATTTTTAAATATTTTTTTTTTAATTGTCATGTATGCATGTATGATTTGTCACTTCTAGTAGGTATGAATAAGATCCAATTTTTTTCAAATTGCTGAATTATTTTTAAAATCCTGTCATGTATGATTTGTCACGTCTGCTAGGTATGATTAAGAACTCGGCCCGGCCAGCCTACTGGGTCCCGGACGAGGAGATCACGTCTTGCTGCGTGTGCGGTGACAAGTTTGGCCCGAGGCTTTCCATCCACCATTGCCGCGTGTGCGGGAACGGAGTCTGCGAGAAGTGTTCCCCGAGCAAGCGCGTGGTGGCGTTCAGGGGCTGGGACTACCCGGTGCGGGTGTGCACTAAGTGCGAGAAGAAGACGGACAGGATTTGACGAGGTGGTGTGACATTAACACTTTGCCATTATATTTTGGGGAAAATCCAAAGAAACTGGATGGTAAACATCACCAATCTGCCAGATGAGGCGGCAAAGTGTTAAGTGCGATAAGAAATCGCACAGGATTTGATGAGGTGGCGTGACGTTAAGTGCGAGAAGAAGAGGGACAGGATTTGATGAGGTTGCGTGACACTAATTGCGAGAAGAAGACAGACAATTTGATGAGGTGGCGTGGCGTGGCAGTGACTGACCTTGTTGTACATCTGCTCTGCTCGCTCCGTGCACAAATGTCTTGACCTTGATCTTCTTCCTGTTGGCTGTCTCGAGAGCTGAGTGTGATGGATGTAAGTCTTCACAGGGAGAGAATGTAAGCCGTCGCACATCCTATAATGCATACTCGTTGTCGTACTGGTCTTTTTTAATTGCATTGCGTTGTTCGAAGGACGCAGTTGGGTTGTTGGGGCGCGGGGGCGGGCGATGTTATGTGATGTCGAGGGCTATTTTATTTCCTAATGACAGTTTTACAGCCCCATTGTGGTTGTAGATCTATAGCCCCTTCTGTTCAGGTTTTGAAAATGAAATGTTGGCAAGCCCCATTTTTTTTTTTACTTTTCCTTTCTTCATATGGGTTTTCCTATCAAAATAATGGGATACCTCATTTTATGATAGAGGCCTTTTTCATGAGAATATTGAATAATTCACGTGTCAGATATGCCCCAAGTCATGATTGAGGGCGGTAAACTTTTTTTTTTTTTTTTTTTTTTGGTCGTCACACAGAAGAGAGTTTGTCGTTTTCATTTCCTTATTTATCTCTATGCGATTAATCAGTCAGTCTGAGATGAGTGGAAAACAAAAAGAAAGTTTTTAATTTCCATTTTGTTATAAGATTTTCATAAACTTTCATCAAAAACTCTTGGCCGAATGGAAACCATATATTTTTTTTAGGATTGGCATAATAATGTGGATTCTGTACACAGATCCTGTTGTGAACTTATAATAATTTATTTTTTTAACCAGCCATAAGAATTTTAGGCTTGACACATGGGAAACTATTGACATCCTATAATCCCGTAACAGGAGCATTGTTGGAGTTTTCAGATACATCAAGTGAAGTTTGAATCATCATAAATCATATTACGTGTGAACTATTTGTTGTGAACTTATGACTTTGCATACCCGACATTGTTGGATCTTGTATTAAGAAGGGGGGGGGGGGGGGGTCATGGTAGTAAATGATGTACTATTACTGGAAGCTACTGTAATTAAATCAGAGTCATAGCAGTGGAAGTGGTCTGGTTGGGAAATGATTTATTTTTACGGAAGCCAAACATGCTTTTTATTTGTGACCTTTATGGCCTTCAGAAATGAATGTATGAATGTGCTTACTTAGCTTTTGGGGTTTTTTATTTTCCGTAAAAGACTCTAATGGTCTGTGATTGGTTGCAAGTAACAAATCAGGACGCTGGGCTTGTGTGTCCTGCTGCGGCCATCAATGTTTCAGCTGTGTTGTTGCTTCGTGGACGTCACAGCAATGTTGATGAAATGTGCAATGAAGGGATGCAATTTATTTAAATTGTATGTATATCTTGCTGCAACAACAAAATAAAAGTGTTCTATGTAGTTTCCATGTTGTATGACTGTACTTACCTCGAAGCTGGTCAAGAAGATTGACTCAAAGGCCAAAGAAAAGATGTTCTGTCGCATGATATTGGGACTGAAGTCATCTCATGTGAGTGGCCGTAGTATAAACAGTAACCAAAATGTCAAATGAAAAAAGCTCCGACGACCTTACTGAGAAGAGGATGGGCATATATACTATGGGCACAGTACAATTCCTGGGGTGAAGAGAGAGAGAAAGAAAGGCTGCAGTTTTCGTTAAAGACAATAGATGTTTGATGATGTCTTTTCTGAGATGCGGGCAAGAAGTAAATTCATCCTGTTTGAATTTTCCACAAAGTCGTGGAATCGGGGCAGTCGAGTAGACCAAGTCCTGCAAAGAAATAATAATAATAGATAGCATTTGTATAGCGCATATCCCCGCTCAACAGCAGGCTCTATGCGCTTTACACTATATTATTACCCCAGCAGACCATAGAACACTCCGAAACATTCTCAGCTTCCTGTGAAGCATACAGTGCAAGCAGCTGATGAAGCGCTCAAATACTAACAAACTGACAAGATCTTTCGCTGACTATAGCCGGGTACCCATTCCCACCTTGGTGAAGTGAGGAAAATGCATGTAAAGTGCCTTTCCCAAGGACACAACGTCGGGTCCCTGACGGGATTCGAACCCACGACCTTACGGTTGCGAGTCCGAGAGCCTAACCACTAGGCCACAGACACCCTAATGGCTACTGGTGACTATAATGAGGGGAACATTTACACCTCTCCCGTGTTAGTTGTATCTGCGTGTCGGTTTCTTTTAAATCAAGGCTTGTGATTCTAATTATAGACACTTCCTGCACTCTGGTGAAGCTACAAGCTGTGGACGCTCACCAGCTAAATGTTTTCACGTGAACTCGTAGAGAAGTGGCGATGGGAATGTTGCCTCCGACTGTGCCTTTTAAAAGACTAAAAAAAGTGACCATTGCATTGTTCAAAAGAGACGGTTTTTGGGGGTTCTTTTTGTGCTGTTGGGGGGGGGGGTTTGTTGGGGGGGGGGGGGATGTGTTCACGTGAGCGATTTTGTTTATTAATGACAGTTTTACAGCCTTATTTTGATTGTATAGCCCGTTTTGTTCAGGTTTTGAAAATGAGATGACAAACACTTCACTTGGCACAGCTTTCCAAGTCTGTATTTTACTCATTTTAGTGACTCGGCACAAAACGAATGGTACGGTTTCTATCTCTGTATAAACCAATATGGCTGAATGGGACATGATTTTTACTTGTGCAGTAGTGTAATTGTTCTGTTTTTATTGGCTACATTACATGCCCTTTTTTAGCCGTCTCATGATAATTTTTCAATTTGCCACTTAGGTAGTTGGAGGCCATCGTCTGCAGATCCTTTTTTTTAAAAAAAATCTAACTGACTTTCTTGAATATTGGGTATAATTTTTAATTATTATTATCGAGATCATGGTTAATACTGGGAATTTTAACTTATCTTTTTTTTAAAAATGTGTTCACGGTGTCTTGTTCCTCCAGGAAAGCAGGGTGCTTGGCTCAGTGTTGAGAAGGTTGAAATGTGATATAGCTGTCTGTGGGCCTGGTTTTTCGCAGCGTTTTATATTTCATAAAGCTCTTACCAGTATAGTTTAGTACACATTTCTCTGGAACTAAATCTGACAGCTTTTTCGCATTTCATTCTGTATGAATTTTTGCTCTAGGATTGCGCAACAAAGTACCCGAAACTCGCTGACTCTAATATAGACAGGGTACTGCGGCCTCCTTGAATTCAAGGAGTCCTTGAAAACTCCTTGAATTTGCATTCAAGGGAAAATCTCCTTGAAAACTCCTTGAATTTGCATTCAAGGGAAAATCTCCTTGAAAACTCCTTGAATTTCAGGAACCTCCTTGATAACTCCTTGAATTTCTCAGGATCGGACATGAACAAAATTTTTGTCGGAAAATCTAAATTTCGATTCTTTTCCGACAAGTGTAAGCCTATTGGAAATAGGTTTTCAGCAGGAATTTCTCAACCAAATCTTCTTGAATTTTTAAAATTTCTCCCCAAAAACTACTAAATATACTTGAATTTGGTGGGGAGTTCATAGCAGGAACCCTGTTTAGAGAGAATAGGCAAAGATGCCTTTTTTTTTCTTATGTCTTCTCTTCACTACAATGCTTGACAAGGGCTCTTCAGGGACTGCTATGATTCTGCTGGTTGGCGTTCAGAGTATGTTTGAGAGCACTCTGTGGAATTGTCTGGCGGGTGTGGTGAGTGATGCAAGTGATGGGTAGAGAACCTGGCTGTCTGATCCTCATTTGCTTTTAATTTTCATTATTTTGCTTTATCGGTTTTTACGCTCCCGACACCTGTGAGCGAAAAAATTGTGTCACGGAATACGTCATACCCTGCCTGTTTCATTTTCCGTAAGGTATATCTGGTCATGTATATTATGTTTTATTTGCTGCTGTTCATTCAGAGAGAGAGAGATGTTTTGACCTCTCCCATCTTTTCTTTACTTTAGGATATTGTTGTGACCCCCCCCCCCCCCCGCCCCTTTTTTCTGGCTTCTCCTCCAATAATGTTGATTTTGTCATTTGAGTTTGTGCCATTTAGAACAAGAGCACATATTACTGGCATCATCACCAGTAGGGGAATTCTGCCATTATTATGCTATTTGCTTCTACTTCTAGGTCAAAGAAAGTGGATTTCGAAGCTTTTATGATTTTCCCACTTACAGGTTAGAATGCAAAAGAATTTTTCCCTAGTTTGATTGCCATTGTTTCTGCTTTTCATCATGTAGAAGGCTCCATTCCATTACAGCTGATTTGTCTTGTAAACTACTTTAAAATATTCGCCACGCATTTAGAAACTTCTGAAGGATTTGTGAAATTTCCTTTTATATGAAAACCTTTGTGTTGTCAGCCAGTCCTTAAAATGTACTGAGCCCAAAATGAGTATATTTTTAAAGGGAATATTGAAGTGTCTTAATCTGTGGTGTCGGTTGCATGTGCTCTAGAAATATTTTGCCAAAATTCAAATTTTAAATGATGGGGGGGGGAAAAAAAAGCAAGAAAAAATTCAATAATGTAGAGATACAATTGTGAAAAGATTGAGTGTTTTTTCCTGTGTCCTGTAAAATGTTGCTTTCTTAGGCTTAGAACTTGTACATTTTTGTAACTGCTTGCCGAGGGATGCAGTTAACAGTGGTCACACTGAGAGCTGTTTTTGCAGAGGCGTGCAGTTAACAATGACATTTGACATCATCAATGTACACAGATGGAGATTTTTTTGTGTAGTTTTAGTTTTAATAGAGGTTTTTCGGCGCTCACAACTGCTTAAGGTCATATGAGCGCCAGAAGATTAGAGGTGTTACAAGAGAGTAACAAACATAAAAAAGAAGAAGGGGAGATAAGGACGATAGATGTTTGATAGGAATGGAGATATTTGATAAAATGACTGCCTTATGTGGGAATAGAGTCGTGGTCTTAGGTCTTATGTCTACAACAGCAAAAAGCCTAACCGTCAGAGCACAGACGTGGGTGCTCAGATTGGGGGGAGGTTTACATTACATGTGATTTGGTGTTGATTCGGATCTAGTTAATCTGTCCACTGAGCCCAAAGCCTAGATACTGTGTGGTCTTAGCTGTGTTCGAATTGGAATGGAGCTTGGGTCTTCTTCATGTGATAACGAACTACCTTTCAGTGTATTGCAATTGTTCCTATACGATACTGTTATAACGTGTACAGATGAACTCCTTGATGACTTTGATTAGTTTGTTTTTAACAACTAATTCTTTTTTTAACAACTAATTCTTTTTTTATTAATTGCATTTGCATTCAAATCATGTTTTAAAAAAATGAATTGTGTTATAATTCTGAATGCTTTGTACCTTATTGACAAGTGCGCTATGGAATCAAGCTTTCGTCAATTTGTGGGCATGTGGAGTTATTGGTATCATCTGAAAGCTGTTTTATTTGGCTTGTTTCCAATGAAATAAATATCCATCTATCTTGAACAGAACTCAAGATATTTGTGATTGAAGGAAGTGAGGTCGCCTGGTTTCAGAGTTGAAATTAGAGGTGAAAATGACCGCCAAGGTTTGGTAACGCCAATAGCTAAAGAGTCCTTGAAAACAGGAAAATGACATATTTTGTGCCTTTAATCAATGTTTTCCAGTAAAATTAACACGAAAATGTTTTTTTATATGGACGTAGAAGAGGTTGAGCCCAAAAATATAAATTCGATATAAATTTCTAAACTTTCGGAAAAACACCTGTTTCTCAGATTTCTGTATTTTGACGAGCGCCTGATTTCACCTCGCTGCCTCTGCCTCCCGATTGCTATCATCGTTCTCTCAGACTAAGACAACCATCAAACACTCATGCAAACCTGAGTACATCATGCATGACATGCTTGTGTTACACCCATCTTTCTTCCAGAGCTGTAGAGACATACCTTTGGCCCTCTTGGTCAGTTAACCCCCCCGTGACCTAAATGACGTACGTCGTTCGTCATATTTTCTTACTCGCCGAACAAGCCAAGATGCGCTGCTGTGGTGTACGCCGTTCGTCATGCCTTGCGAAGCGCGAGGACCGTGAAACGCCGTTCTTCATAGGTTGTATTCTGCGTACTGCTTCTATTAGATACATTTCGTAAAACTAATCGCAGATTCACATTCTGGAATAATTTTCCCTTACATACAAAGAAATCTTTCCCTTACATACAAAGAAATCTTTCCCTTTTAGACATAGTAGTATTTGCCAACCGGATCTAATTATAGGCAACTGACCCCTAAATGTAGCGCTGATCTGTCTCCCTGAGGATCCAAAACTGTGCCCTGTGAAGCACAAACTGTCCCTGTGTCACGGAGGAGGTTAACCTTCCCATTCCTTGGAAAGTTGGTCTGTTGAGTAAGTCTGTTTAACTATGTGGGTTGAGTACCGTTGAGCTGATAGAAATGTGTCTCACATTGCACACAGGGTTGCTTTGTTCTTTGATTGCTGTGGAACGGATGTATTATTTATTTAGGCTACATCATCCTCAAATGCTTTTATTTATCTGTCCCCGTCGTTTTATGCTAGAAAAATTCTGAAATAATGCAAACTGAGCCCAAAAATTTGAAATTATGCGATTCTGTTAACTTTAACAAAGAATGATATATAAGGAAAATAATCAAAAATTATACAAAAAATGATCAAATTTTGTTAAATTATGCGGGATGCATAAAACTACGGGGACAGATTTATGTGTCTTGTAAGGAATCACGATGTTACCTCGCTTTTTAGAATTGTTATTGTCTTGGAAACTAATTTGAATTTGTTTGGTGTAAATGCGCATATTCAGTTAAGAAGCAACACGAATGCCTGATTTATTGGTGAAGTGTGCCAGTTTTAGTATGTTTATGCAGTGGTCCAAAGTTTTACCTAAAGCTTGAAGGAGGGAAACAAGCTTGCTGATGCATGAAGTTCTGAGCCTGAGGCAAAGCGAAACTTGTCTGTGATGTACATTTGAATGTAGGCAGCATTGAAATTAAAGAAATTTTTTTTTTAAACAAAACTTTGAAAGTTCAATGGAAACATGGAAATAAAGCCTTCGAGCTATTATTTTGTAAGTTTAGTGGACTTCGGCCGTGTACTGCCCTGAATAATTTCAGGAGTTGAGCCGATACACTTTCTCATCTATTAAAATCAGAAAATACGGAAGTGGGATGGGGGGGGCAATGGTATAAGCATGAGGATGTCATTGTTGAATATATGTGTATATATAGATATTTGGTGCTGCATGGTCGTTGCTAGAAAACCTACTGCCTTAATATGTGAGAATCCCCACCCCACCGTTTCATTTCATGTTATTCAATGTATGTGTATATACACGTGTAAATGATTTGGTCAACAGTAAGGTATTTCCTTTGTATTTTAAATTTCCTTGCATTGTAAATGATTCTATTTCTGGTTGAGTGCATTTGTCAGGGATGCCAAATCTCGGGTTTTTTCCTACACTTGCAAAGGAAAGGGGAATGGTAAGAGAAGTGTTTTTGTTTGCTCATTGAAAGATTTTACGAGGTTCGTTTTATTGGGTGAGGTGTGATGCTCCGCTCATTTTGCGGTTGTTTTTAAAAAAATCATTTGGCATCCCTGATTTGTAAAACCTAACATTTGCAGTTATATTTATTGCAAAAGGTACACTGCACCACTAAATGTATGTTTGCACCACGAATGCCCTACTGTTTCAGACATAATGTTCTTTGGTCAGCAACTAGATGACTGCGAGGGTAGAAAACAAATTTTATTTTTATCATTCACGGTTTATCGTGGGCACCTTTTTTGTTAAAAGTTCAGACTTTTATATAATGACAGAAAGAATATTTGTTGGACTTGGATGTTGAAGGTGATTACCGAATCAGAGTGATTTGTTGGGTCTAGTTTTCCATTCCTTTTACAAACACCCCCCGCCCCTGTTTATTTCAGCATTTTTACAAATCATTTCTGTTGGTAAAGCATTGCTTCTTGTGAAACTATGATTGTTTAGAAATAACTGCCACACTGCTTTGAGGACTAGAACTATCATAAATGTAGGTAAAGTTTACACCACATAGGTTGCAATAATCAGAAAGACAGTAAAAAGTATTACTGAAGAGCATAACAATAACATTAACATGGACCATTTGATTAACCCTTTTGTAGACTTTGAACCTGTCCTGAAAGTGCCACTGGTAACAGACTTTACCCAACACATATTAGGCTGAAAATATACTGCCACGCACTACTGAAGTGGGCCACGAAAAAAATCGTGCCCTCCTATTTATTTCTTATTGGTGATTTCACTGACACGACTAAACGTGAGGAGTCGTGAGGACCCAAAAAGACATGCGTGAGTGCAGCACTTCTTCGCGTGCGGACAGGCTCGCCCTGCTATCAAAGTGTTCCGCAACGCCGTGGAGATAAAACAAAAAAGGGGGGGCGCCACTGAGCTGTTTACGCCTGCTCAGCGCCGCCATTTTTTTTACAGTCAGACGGAGTCGCGTTGGCCTATGGGATCACCACTTCCCACCTAGCTGCTCGTCCGTTTCGCGGCGCACTTCAGTTGTGCGTGGCAGTATATTTTCAGCCTTAGTATGTGTATACATACATACATAGATACATTCATAGAGTATAATCATTATCAGATTATTTCATAGGTCTCAATACAGGTTCATTTGTATTTTTTTCCCTTGTAATTACAAAGATATTGGGATTTTATTTGATAAGATTACTTTTTAAGGATTATTTGTGAAAATGAAAAGACTTTTTTGTGATTATTTGTGAAATTAAATTAAACCATGCCAGTGAGACACAGCACACTACATAGAACAAATGTCCTTGAGCAATGGGTGTGCTTTCTTGTGGCTCGAGTAGGAAAAGGAGAAGCAAATGAGAAGTTTATGTTTGTTCACCTTTCCCCCCTTGCTTTGTTTGTGAGTGACAGATCTCCCCTTGTAGAGGACAGGTCTTTGCCTTGGATCTTGTATGGTTTTGTTTTTTTTTCTTATATTTCTGTTTATAATTTTTTGTGGAGTGCAGGAGATGAAGTTGCTGCACCAACATGGTTTTGACAAATCAGTACATTTTTCTTATTACTTGTAGCCAAACTTGTTTGATTTTTTTTGTGTGCATAAAAAAAAATAAAGATGCTGAAGTCAAAGTCCAGAACAAATGATTTAGTGTTGAGGGTTTTTTTCTCTATGGCTTTTTCAGGAAAAAAAGTTTTGGAAACATTCTAAATGCTCCAACACCTCAGAATTTTATCTCTTGCACTTGGGGGATGGTTGCATGATGAAATGCTGCAAATTGTTATATTCTAAAATCATATACAGATCTAATGCTAACATAAAGAAATAGATGAAAAGTTTTGCCTCTATCACACACCAGCACAGAAGCAAGGAATGCAGCAATGGTAGACTAAGAACAGGTTATTTTACTACGCAGCAAAGTTCAAGGTTTGAAACTTTCTCGGGTCCTAATATTTTTTCCTTGACTTCCACTTCCAGAAATGTTTCCTTCCCAATCCAGTTTTCTGACAGAAAAACAGATGCCTCAGTTTCAAAATGACCAACATCATACCTTGTGATACTTGTCGGGCATAAATTCTAGCAGAAAATAAGTAAAGCGTATGAGGACAAAAAGAAAGAATTATCCAAGTCTTTTTTTTTCTTTTTTTGGACATTTTAATAACAAATAAAAATATTTATGTCTGAAGAATTTACAAAATGTGATTCATGTATACATTATTAAGAGAAAATGTACAATAAATGTATTTTACACTTTGCAAACTTTCATCTATACACACCCCAGTCTCCACCCATAAATGCACGTACGAGTTCAGATATTCTCTTCACACGTTTCAAACATCGTATCATCGGCCAGCTGTTCAGATATTTTTAAAAATTGATTCTTAAACTGGTATCAGTTGCACGAGCTCCAGAAATATTTTTTTCTGAATTCAAATTCTAAATGTTGAAAGAAAAAAACAAAACAAGAAAAGATACATAATTTGGGTACAATTTATTATAAAAGAATGAAAGTTTTTCTCTCTCTCCTGAAAAACTTTGCTTTCTGGGCTTAAGATAATTGAACAGCTTGACGGTGACATAATTCTTCTGAAAAAAACAATCATACTCAAAGAAGTGTGTCGATTATGGTCACTTCACAATATGTGATGTGTGTTTTGACTCTCATGCTCTCTCTATCTCTCCACACACTTTAAAAAAAAAAAATTTCTAGAACGACTGAGCACTGCAGGAAGGCATAAGCAAGAATTCAGCGCATCTATCAAGGATGCGCCCGTCGACTCCGCATAGCCTATAAAAAGAGTTTGCTTGGAATTTATTACACTTTTTGTGGTCCCTAATACTTACAAAGCAGACGAACTCGAAGACAGGAGAACAAACTTTGTCATCAAAATCAACAAGAGAGAGCTGGGCTCACTGGAGTGTGGACATCATCACTTCCACCATTTCCCACATGTGTACATGACTCATTGCTATCAGTGAAGTTTATATATACAACACACTGAAGGGCTCACATGACCCATTGCTATCACTATCAGTATGGTCTATACCACACACTGAAAGGCTTGCATGACCCATTGCATCAGTGAAGTTTATATATACCACACTGAAAGACTTACATGACCCATTGCTATCACTGTCAGTATGGTTTATATAGCACACACTGAAAAGCTTACATGACTCATTACAATCAATGTGCTTTATACCACACACTGAAAGACTTACATGACCCATTACTATCAGTATGGTTTATACCACACACTAAAAAGGCTGACAAGAACCCATTGCTATTAGTATTAGTGTGCCTTACACCACACATTGAAAGGCTTACATGATCAATTACAATCAGTATGGTTTATACCACACTGAAAGTCTGCCATGACCCATTACTATCGGTATGCTTTATACCACACAGTGAATGGAAATTCAATCCCACACACTTCTTGAAAAGCAAAATTTGAAATGGACACCAGCATTTTAAGTTCGCCAGCGGTTTCTGTTCTTGGACACTCTCAAAAAACACCCTATAATACACAAACTAAGACAAGAAATAGAAATATCTGAAAACAGAAAGAAGAGCCTAAGCAACAACCCTGGCTTATCTGCAGCAAGCACCAACAATTAGCATTTGGCTTCGCCAAAATCACATAGAATCTTTCTTTCAAGGCACAAACATTTAATTCAGTATTTTACAATAACTCGGACGTTATTCGAAAGCATGTACATCTGGTACGGAAGACTCACAACGACTGCCGTCGAGTCCTTCCAGCACATAAATATAGAGCGGGGAGTATTTATTACAACCTACGGGAACATAACTTCCATTTTGCGTCATTAGGAGAAGAATTTCCAGTAGGTGAGTCCTCCTAAAATAGCCAGCTCCATGAGGATAATGACAGCCAGGATTAGTTTGTTGGTCATCACCCTGAAAATCGCGACAAAAGAAAGTAAGACATAAACACGGCAACAATTCAAAAAGACTATCTACTTTACACATTAGGACAATTGCCAAAGACTCAGCAGTAAGAAAAATTTGGGAGGGAAGCAGTTCTAGTCAAGTAATTATAATTCCAAGAAAGCTAAAATATGTAATAATATTATCGTGAAGAAAAAAAAAAAAAACATTAAAGATTTCACAAAATGAACCAATGTGAAAATAGAATAACACAGACATCTCGAATTCATCGGGACCGGCCTCAGTAGTTCGAGGAATCCCTAGTTCGAGGGATATCTTACAAAGATAAAGAAGAAGAAAAAAACGGGACCACAGGTACAGTTCGACAGATGTGTGATTTTGAGTCTTCTGTGTTCGACCTATCCGTGTTATACTGTACATTCAATTCCGTTCGAGAAAGTATGGGTTATTTTTAGAGACATAACCAACGAAATAGCAGCAAAATAATGGCACTTGCATTCATATGACGCATACTCATGTTCTACAACAAACTGCAGTTTACAACATCTATTACCCCAGCAGACCCAAGAACACTAAGAAACAGTCTTTGCTTCCCTGAAAGTATACCACCATACAGTAAGCCTATTAAGCCCTCCAATATTAACATTCGAACAAGATCTTTTGCCGTCTGTAGCCAAGTACACATTCCAACCTGAGTGAAGAAAGGAAAATACCTTTCCAAAGGACACAACATCAGGCCCCTAACAGGATTCGAATCTATGATCTTTCGGTTACGAGCTCAACAGCCTAACAAATAAACCACGAACTCTACTTATGCAAGAGGACATTTTAAAAATGTACGCATTTTCAAACAAAATGAGGAGGCCCCACAGAATAAATCTTTGTTCAGTCTAGACACCTCAAACAATCTACCATCAACTGCCGCTACCAAATACCATCTTACCTTCTTGCCATAGATTTCAGGATTTTTCTACTTTGCCCTAGATTTGCATCAGTTTCTACTAGCTGTGGAAGAGAAAGACGATTTCCTCAATACAAGTTGTCTCAGAAAAAAAAATATACGCGAGAAAAAGCAAAACAAAAAATTTTGTATCTAGCCAATCTTATCATAATGGCGACGATATCCAGAAAGATATTTGAAAAACTTAAACTAGGAATAGGACAGCATCCTCTCAGAAATCATCCAAGCCCTATTTTCTGCATTTTGAGGCAGAAAAAGCTCTAAGAAGGATGAAATTTGAGAATGGAATGTTTCAATCCCGTTTTCAACCAGACTCCACAGTCTGACGGAAACAGAATTCTAGACAAAAAATTGGATTTTAAGCAAATCCAATCACAGTTTTTCAACGAGCAAAAAAAAATATTGGAGGGCTCCGATAAAATCAGAGTACTTGGCACGTCTCTATAAGTAGAGCGATTTTAGTCAGGTACATTCCAAAGGAAACGAACAAAACTTTATTACCAAAGGAAATGCCCAAGGGTTATTCAAGTGTTAAAACAATGTCAAAAGCTTCACCTAGCGCTGCTGTGATTGCTATACGACAGCTTATTCAACTACTGCACTGTGACTGCACTTACCCGTTCTCGAGTTCGTATCAAAGTCTCTCTTTGCTCTCCCAGTTCATCGATAATTTCCACCCCAATCTGGTCAGTCTCAGCTGCAATCTGATGTGACCTGGCAATGCTGTCCGAGGTCCTTTGTAATGACTGGTGGCCCTGTAGCAGCTTTGCCCGGTTGGCAGAATCCAGTCTCTACAATTTCAAATAAAAGAGAATGCTCTTTAACAATCTGAAAACACATTCGAAACAAAATATAAAGGCTGGAATTTATGAAAGCCAGCTCCAGAAACAAAGGCAAATTCACACGGCAAACCATGCACGAGCAATTAAATTAGCAAACTAACTCTTCAGTTTACACAGTCCAGTTGATAAAAATGATAAATAACAATCTGAGGGAAAAAAAAAGATGGTTCTGCTGATCCAACTGTCTTTATGTTTCCATGCTAACATCAAATCTTCTCAAACAAGTGTCACCCTGAAGGCTAAACCAAACCATTGAAAACTGCAGCAAAGAAAATGAAAAAAAATGCTCACCTCCTCTCTGTCGAAACCATAATTGTCTGAGCCACTAGCACCTGAAGGAGGGCCTCGTTTCTGTTGACAAAAATCACAATGAGATCATTACTTATCAGGACATCAATGATATAGGAATTAACAGCATCTTATCAGAAATGTTGAAATTGAAGGTTTATTCATAAGAGTAAGATTTTCCTTGCTCACCTCAAGTATAAATGTACGTTTTTTTGTCATGCTAATAGAGTCAACAAAACGTAATACTTAGCTAAGATTTTTTTAAATACCAGCAATCCCAAGGAAACCTTGGCTACACAAACAGAAACAACAACAACAACAACAACAACGAATCTGTTGACAATGTGCTGCAGGGTGAAATAGAGGCAAAGAAAAGTATGGAAAGACCTCCTATATCATACATGTAAAACATAAAACCCGACAGTAGTCAAGAACTTCCTGAAACAATACATAGAAGTAGAAGCAGAAAGCAGGGAAGACAAAGGTCTGCTGTGGCAAGGAGCGAGACACAAATAGACGAATACGGCCATGTGTGACCAAAGCAAGCCCAAGGAGGGAAGGCACCAGACAGGTTGAAAAACTATCAGGTCTGATGTGTTCTATGCACACATTGAAGATACAGTCCAGCAATTTAAAAATTAAAAAAAAAAACCCAAAAAAAAACCCAATTCACAATGATTACTTCAGTGTAATTCTGAATCAATTCCAACATCCAATTTACAAGCAGATTGTATAAACACTTTGCCGTCATATTTTGTGGAAAATCCAAAGAAACTGGGTGGCAAACATGGCCAATCGGCCAGATGAGGCGGGAAAGTGTTCAAAGCTACCATAAAACAGAAAGAAAAGGCAGAGGGCTCGATCTCCCGAGATAGAATTAGGGCATGAACATTAGGTTTGATTGACCATGTGTTGAAAAACCTACAATCTACAATGATACTCTTGAAATATAATAGAGGAATGAAGAAGAATTTTGGTAGTAAGCAAACTAAGCAAACCTCTACTCGCGGAATATTTAAAACGTATTTTAAAATTCAGTCTCAAGTGGACCTAAATTTGAAACAGATTCAAAATATAAACACAAGAAGGCAGCTAAACTGTTCTTACCAGATTTCTTGCAAGCTGGTCAATGTCATTTCGATAATGTCGAATTCGACCTAAGAATTGTGTGCGATAGTTCACGGGGGCCAACTTTGCTTCTGACTCAAGTTCTTGAACCTAAAAACATAACAGTAGAATATGAAATTTTTGGACATGAATGAAATAAATATTATAAAGCTGATATAGAACAAATGTTCACATAGATAAAATGTTGAATGGCAACAGACTTTAAGCTTCCCCTATCATCCCTAAGGTGCAAATGTCTTCAGTTCCCATGAAGCAAATTTTTAGTTTTACATCTTTTTTTTTTATAATTCAAATATTATATACAAACTGAAATTGCTTTTTCATTAACTGTAAAATAAATGTATTTTTATCAGTCATATGCTTTCAACATTTCACAGTTTTGCATAAGTGCCAAGTATCGAAAAATAAAGAATGAGGGCAAAATAAGATCTAAATACAATGGTATCTTATCAAATGCAGACATGTGCTTGAACACACCCTATCTTCCTCTTAAACACACACACATGATGCGCACGCAAGCTTACACTCACAATTTTTAGTGAGGAATGAACAATTATATTTCTTAAATAGGTGTCACGACACTGTGGAATCAGGCGCTCGTCCATTTTTGGGCTTGTTGAGTTATTTCTATCGTCTCAAAGCTTGTTTATTTGTCTTGCTTTTGATGAAAAATTATAAATTAGTTATTTCCTTATATTAAAAATATGTTGACACTGTCCACACAGAAAAGTGTTCTTCAATGGACAAGAACGGTGTTGAGCCAAAAGACAAAAATTAGATTCAAATTCCCAAACCTGCGCGAAAATGCCAATTTCTTCACATTCATTATTTTGACGAGCCCCTGATTTTCACTACACTGCATCACATAGCCTACATATATGTATCTTTTTAGTACTTACAATAACATTTGCCTCCTCAAGCTTTCTCTCAGCTTTTCTGATGGCATTTTTTCTGTCCTCTGCAAACAAACAAAATATGATAAAAACATAAATATAAATGCACTGAGATTTGAGAAGATACAGTAGGCCTACATTGGTACAGATGCCTTCTTTTCTAAAAATGTTCTGTTTTCATGCCCCCATCCATGCAAATTTAGATCAAAGCGCAGATATTTCTACAGCCCTTTTCTTGTTCATTTTTATCTGTTTAACACAAACTTGACTTTATATCCAACATAAATTATTTTTAGTGTAAAATGAGATGGTGTTTTTATACTTGGCCTACTAATTACAATAGGCCTGATTGCATAGCATTTCAATTGATTTGCGTCAGTTATGGTGGCCATTAGGGATGGGTGTTAGTCGATAGGAAAAAGGGAGTGCTTATTTAGGCCACATATGGCCTAAATAAGGTAAGGGAGGGGGGTTTAGCTTATTTAGGCCACACATGCTCAAACTACCGGGGGACACCATTTCAGGCAACTGAGTTCGTTCCACTTTCATAATGGTGCACCTTTCTCATTTAGTACAGTTTTGTCTCAGTGTACAACTTATAAATCATAACCATAATGAATATTGTAAAGAACAAAGCACAACACGCAAAATTTTGCTCAATCCCATTGGTTTGAATGAGGGCCAGATTTTTCCTTCATGGAGGGGCAAAAGCTAGGCTACCATTTTGGCACACTTTGGTCAAGTGAAAAGGTCAAATCCTCCGAATGGACTTCCGGGTTAAATTTGGGGTATAAAAAGTGTGTACACTACGTAGCTGAGTCAAAGTTACACTATCTTTGCCTGAGTGACACTCTCTCGTACTGTCTCGTAGTAGTACATGTAGGCTAGTAGGCCTAGTAGTAGTAGTAGTAGCAAAGATCGTGTAGAGAATATTTGGTAGTAGATTCTATCTAGTAGGCAGTTTAGTGAACGTGCTCGCAGCAGGGCGAATCGGCCTCGATAAGCCCTGTAGACTTTTGTGATCGGCCACAAAGCCTCGTGTTTTGATGGGTCTAAACAGCTCAGTGTTATTCGCACTGCCACATCCGACAGGCCTACATCTTTTTAAAAGGAAAAGAAAGATCATCAAAATGGTTGAATTCGCGTGAAAATCGATTCGGTAGAACTAGAACTATTAAAATTTGCTTCTGAAAACGTGGCAATTTTTATACGAAGGCCATTTTTATAACTCGATGAAATAAAAACTACTGGCTGTGTACTGTGTTATTCTGTATAAAAATAAATTATGAAACTTCAGGACGTAATATTATTTTCCAGCATCTTTTGATGCCTGAGCTGTAGAGGTTGAAGTTTTCACAACACTAATAGATCTAGTAATAGGGTTAGGTAATAGGGCTTTCCGTAAAAAATGCATAGATCTACAAAAGCCGAACCACCGAATCGACCGAGCACCTCGCTCTCCCCTGCACACTGTGATAACGTGTTGCTTCGGTATCGCATTATTCAACTATTAATACGTGCGGCTATGGCAATTGGGATGTACTGACTGACAAAAAATTCAGTTTTGTTTTTATTTTACCATATATTTGACTTAAATAGCGCAGGCGATAGCAAGATCTAGATTCCCTGTCTAGAATCAGTAGTAGCAGGCCTCTGCTAGAAGCAGCCAGAGAGCCTACAACTGCTAGATCTAGATCTAACTTATTATTGCTATGCCTTTGGGCTTTGGAATTGAAATAAAACGAATTGCACAGTTCTAGTTACTTTTAGATTCAGCAAGTAACTGTATTTCCAGAGTTAATAATAACAAATCTCAGCATAACAATCACTTTTACTTTTATTAGAATAATTAGATCCAACTTTTTTTCTAAAATCTGTTTTGCGCAAACTTAAGATTTTCTCTACTTGTAGAGCACAGAATTTACATTGTAAGCCTCTGCTCAGTCTTTTAGTATACATAATAAAATACATACACACACACACACACACACACACACACACACACACACACACACACACACACATATATATATATATAGAGAGAGAGAGAGAGATCTACATAATCATTTTTTTATGTTGTTTTCGGGATATTTTTAAAACTCTTTTTTTTCAAAATGTCATAAAATCAAATTGTGCCATTTTCTTTGAAAAGAATAGCATTAGCAGTGGACTTTTTAGACAGCGAGTCTCTGATTCAATATAAAAATATAAAAAATGCTAATCAATGAAAATTGCAAATTGATAATAGTTTAGTCCTGAAGAGGATAGGTGGACTCCGGGGTCTGCAAAGCGAAATACTAGGTTTTAGGATGTGAACCCCGGAGTCACCGTAGTGAAATAAGGTTTGGTTTAAGTAAGGATTGGTGGACCTCGGGGTCAACGTAGTGATAAATAAGCAGGTTTAAGGTGGACCCCGGGGTCTACCTAGCGAAATACTAGGTTTTAGGACAGGTGGACCCCGGGGTCACCGTAGTGAAATAAGTATGTTTCTTTAAAGATTGGTGGACCCCGGGGTCAGCGTAGTGAAATAAGCAGGGTTAATTTTAAAAGGATTGGTGGACCCCGGAGTCACCATAGCCGTAGAGGAATAAGAAGGTTTAATTAAGGATTGGTGGACCCCCAGGGCACCTAGATTAAACCTACTTATTTTACTACGGTGACCGCAGGTTCCACCTATTCTAAAAACATAACTAGCATTTCGTTAGGTAGACCCTGGGGTCCACCTTAAACCTACCTATTTCACTACGTTGACTCCAGGGTCCCCCAATCCTTAAAATTAAACCTAGATCTACATGTACTTATTTCACTACATTGACCCCAGGGTCCACCAATCCTTAATTAAACCTAGATCTACTGATTTCACTACGTTGACCCCGGGGTTCACCAATCCTTAATTAAACCTATATCTACTTATAATTTCACTACGTTGACCACGGGCTCCGCCAGTCCTACTATAAAATAAACTGAGATCTACTTATTTCACTATGTTGACCCCGGGGTCCACCGATCCTTAGTTAAACCTAGATCTACTTATTTGACTACGCTGACTCTAGGGTTCACATCCTAAATCCTAGCATTTTGTTAGGTAGACCCCGGGGTCCACCTATCCTTTTGGCTAGATAGACCCCGTAGTCCGCCTATCCACTTTCTTGATAATAACTGAAAACAATACATGCCAGTTGTCATGAATAGTGAAGAAAAATGATGAAAAAAAAAGACAATGAGGTAGACTATAATTTATAAAAAAAATTGCAAGTGCAAGTGAAGATCATAAAATAATTTTGTTATTTTCTGGTCATCTTTCCCGGTTTGTAAAAAACATTCAGTGGGCCTACTACTAGATCTATGTCTCTGAAGAACATTTTGCTTGCCTTTATTAGCTTTTTTCATGTACATGAAAGCATAAAATATATAGTTTCACACAAACATATGCACAATACTTTGAAAAAGAAAGATAAGGTCATTGTTTTTTTACGGAATCCGTTTTACATTGAGAAAAGCGCTAAAAACAAGTTAAAAAATTTTAAGAATGCCCATAATAATATTAGTATTAGGAATCCGAAATTTCTACCTAGTTGGCTTACTCTTTAATAACCATGAGCAGTTAAGAAAAAAAAAAAGACAATGATATAGGATTTGTCTACATATGACATTTAGCAATAAAGATTTTGCCCATTTTGTCCAATTATCCTTGCAGGTAAAATCACCCTGCACTGTACCTCAATAAGCACAAAAGGAATTTTTCTGTGACTTTGTATAAAGGTGTGGCCTAAATAAGGTAAGGGAGGGGGGTTTAGCTTATTTAGGCCACAGGTGTGGCCTAAATAAGGTAAGGGAGGGGGGTTTAGCTTATTTAGGCCACAGGTGGCCTAAATAAGGTAAGGGAGGGGGGTTTAGCTTATTTAGGCCATATGTGGCCTAAATAAGGTCACCCTAGTCGATACCAGTACCCAGTCCTGGTTAAAAAAGGCAACTTTCCGATACTCGATATTGGAAGTCTCTTAATCGATACTAGTCAATACGGAGCATTTTTTTAAACAGAAACTAAGATAGACCCTTCACTTTCAAAACCTTAAACAGTAACAGAGATAACATGGGTAAAAATAATTTTTGTCTACTCTTACAAGTTACATACATGTACTATAGTACGTGTACAGTTGCAGCCATTTTTACTAGTAGTAGTAGGCCTCTTGTCATTCCTCGGTCAGAAGTCTGAGAATACTATTCGTCAGTATTCCAATAGGCCTAGTACATTTTGATCATGTCATACAAGCGTAGTGTGCTTTGTTTTCCAACAATTTCCTTAACCAGTACCGGGTATTGATCGAAACTGAATTTCTTAGTCGATACCAGTACTCGTGATAGGCTAATATCGACTAACGCCCATCCCTAGTGGCCATATGTTCTCTGTAAAAAAATTTGTTAGTTTAACCCACAAGCGGTGCATCTGCATGCGAGTAAAAAAGTAAAATTTTACCAAATTCTTCATAAATAATATCGGCGAAGAACTTGCCTGGGCCTGGGTGAAAGGATTCAATTCTTCAAACTAGTTTTTATTTGGTTTTTGCGAGCAAAGTGGCTAGCCGTACTTAAGTATGGCTAGACTGCCAGTCTAGCCGTACTTAGATCTAGGTTTGGCCCTATCGACTCAAGCCTGTTAAGTACACAGGTCTCATTAGATCTAGATCTAGTAATTATTCAGGTTCAAATACATGCAAGTCAGTAAGGCACCTTTTGGTTTTGTCTGAAATACAAATACTTTAGGCATTGCAAACTAAAAATTTCACTTAAGTACGGCTAGACTGCCAGTCTAGCCGTACTATCTTAGGCCCTACTATTAACATTAGGAAACAGGAGGTTTAAAATACATGCACTGTCATTAAGTCACCTGGTTTCGTCTCAAATACAAATACTTTAGGTACTGCACACTAAAAATGTATATTTACAATTCAGTAGGCCTATTTTTTGTAAGGTAGCGTCAATTGCCACCGAGTGACGCGGTGGCAATTGACAAAACGAAGTGTATACAGACCCGGTAACCGGGAACAAAGTCACGAAGTATATAGACCCGGTAGGGGAACTCTTTTGTGATTTCGGGAAGTTTCAGCCCCCAGACCCGGTAGAAATCTAGTGTGTGTGTGTGTGTGTGAGAGAGAGAGAGAGAGAGAGAGAGAGAGAGAGAGAGAGAGAGAGAGAGAAGAGAGGGGGGGGGGTTGTTAGCAAAATGTATGACATGCCCCAGTTGGCAGGAGGGAACGAGAGAAAGATAAGAGTTGGAAATAGGTGGGGACAAAGAAAGACAGAAACAAACAAAGAAAAAGAGAAGGCGAGCCATACACAGAGGAGAGAGAGAGAGAGAGAGAGAGGGGGGACTGCTTGATTGAAATTATGACATTGTAACTTGTTCTTTTCTTCAAATTGTGATTCCTCCAACTCCAAAACGGAGGAAAAACGATCGTTCATCGAAAAGACATCCACAATCTTCATTTAGATCTAGGCTAGCCGCAAAACTAGATCAAAGATTTAAGTCTGTCTATCTAGATCTAGGCCACAGATCTAGAAGAACCTAGATCTACCCTGAGCCAAGAGGGCGCTGAAATTCTCCGAAATCACAAAAGAGTCCCTTTACCGGGTCTGTATACTTTGTGACTTTGTTCCCGGTTACCGGGTCTGTATACACTCCCTTGACAAAAATTGACTTTTTATCAATTGCCACCGAGTGAAGCGGTGTCAAGTCTGAAAACAACACTCTATCTTTAGCATTATACATAATGTGTGTCTAATGGGTCAATTTGTTCTGAACTAATTTCATTGGACAAGCATCCAAAATCTAGATCTAGTCTAGAACTACGGTACCAACTTGGCGTGTTTTCAATGAGACGTATGCCTAGATCTAGGCTAGCCTTAGCCTACACTTTGGTGTAGAACCGGCACGGGCAATTCTAGAAGTAGAAGGTCACAAACGCACACAAACTCAAGCAGAAATTCAAGTTATATCGGGGAACATAAATCGGGGGATGGGGGTCAGGAAAACACACAAACACACACACACACACACACACAGTACACACACACACAGAGGGACAGAGAGGCGAACGCACAACACTGAGCTCAAGCACAATAAGCTAGATCTACCCACCAACACAAAAGAGCTCCAATTTACTTGGTGGCAATTGACAAAAAGTCAATTTTTGTCAATTGCCACCGCGTCACTCGGTGGCAATTGACACTACCTTTTTGTAAATGGTCAGTCCAGCCATCATATTAAGAATAAATAAGTACGGCTAGACTGCCAGTCTAGCCGTCATAAAGTACGGCTAGCCTCTTCCTTTTGCGAGAGTTCACAACCTAAAGACAAAATAGTTTTATAGACCTGCATTATTTCGAAAGCAAAGCGTCTCACTGGGTCTTTATTCTGGGCTGACCCATCGGTGCTGTCAGTGACTCTTCTGGCTGGCTTGTGGGGTGGCTCAGTGTTCAGTGACAAAGTCAAAATTCAAAATAACAACAACAAAAGAAGAGGGGTGGAGAGAGGAGCTGAAGAGAATGACTCAAAGCCAGGGTAGGGTAAGCTCAGTTTTAAGCCTCCGCAACACTGGCAGACTAATCAGCAATCGGTTAGGCCTACTGGAAGGCTGTAAAGGTTACTGTAAGATGGGCCCTGCTGAGGGAGGGGCGAGGAGTTTTTGGACAGAATCATAGAACTAGGATCCGTCGTCTCTCTGAAGACTTCCATCAGTTCTGGAACCTAATCAAGTGTAAGACTAAAAGATCTACAAGTCTCAATTTCAACCTTCAATCTTGGAAACTTCAAAACATTTCTACCGAACCCTACCTCCTGAAAGAGAAACAGCTTTCCTTTCAATTTCTTTGAGGTTGTCTATGATGTTATTCACATCATCCTCAAGTGACTCAAACCGTTCCGACGACATTTTGTCACATAGATCATGTGACCATCACAAACAACTGCCTTTTCTAACCAGGTTTCTTTCCGTCTGCTGCTTTCAAAACTTGCACGAATAAGGAGCATTCGTTACAAAGTGTTGTCAAGATCAGAGGATCAAAAGAAAAACTGTATCACTTTTTATTACTTCCAAAAGATGTTTTGGTGAATTTTCTAGAGCAATAATCCCACATGTCGAGAAAAACATTTACAAATAGAACGATCACATTCAATATCAACTTGGCACTGCCTCAAAATCTAGTTTTCATTTTGACCTTTCACCTTTGTTGTAAACGTTTCATTCGTTCAGTTCCTACTTTCGGTTCTTTCCTCGGAGAGTTGGAAGTTGGAACATCAGACATCGAAATTTTAAAATCATTTTGTTTCAATTAAGATGTCACGGTAGTAGATCTAGTATGATGGCCTTATCCATGTAAGTGTTTTGCAAGTTTGTTTCTTCACAATGATCTCTGTATTTATAATATCACACGTCGTAGACCTAACCTAAAAAGTGAACCTCTGAGTCTGAGTCTGAAAGACGTTCACCCTGTCTGTCATTTCATATTTGCTTTATCAAGAGCTTATATGATCATTGCCTTCCTACACCTGATGGCAGAAAAACTCTGGAATTTCTTTTCTATGGCTCATCTTGATTTAATTTAATGCCAAAACTCATATATTTGATTGGGGGGGGTGTTCGTATTATTGCCACTGGGATTTGGGAGGAGAGAGGGCGGGGTGGTTCACTGGTTAGGCCAACTTGAAGTTTGGGAGGTTCCCATGACACCCACATCTTTTCATACTTCTTTTTAAAAGTTTTAGATCTATAGGCCCTAGATCTATAGATCTACGCTTTGATTCAGTCAATAAGAAATAAACCACCTCATAGATAAAGTGCTGATGAAGAATTAAAGTAAGGGGGGGGTTTTTCTTCTTTTTAAAGCCTAGATCTATATAATTACGAAGTGACTATTTCTCCGAACGTTCAGAGAAATAGTGCCGATCTTTATTTCTCCGAACGGTTTCCGGCTTCCGGTCTCGTGTTTTTTTGCCTATTTATTGCGAGAGTTCGGCGCAAACTTTCATTCTGCCTCTGGTCTGGGAAAGAACACCGCATGGCAAGCCCGCCTACAGACAACCTTCAGTAACACCCACCATACACCCACCACCATCATGCACATGTACACACACACTAAACATGACCAGTGGGCAACCTTTGAATGTATGAAGAGCTGAGCTGTGGATGGAGAGACAGTGTGAGTGAAAGAGCGGGTGAAAGGAAGAATGTTCGAGTGTATCCACAGGCGACAGCAACTACAAGACGACGACACCGACCCCCCTGGCCTGGTCCACAGCTCACGAACAAAAGGAATGCAGCTCAGGCAGTGTTTTGCCTACATTACTGTCCATGGTTCGCAGGGTGCAAGGGAATGAGTGAGATTTTCTTTGTGTGTGCCTGGAGGGAGGGGTGGGGTATGGAAGTCAAGCGGACGGGGATGAGCCGCCCGAGAGAACACGAGAATTGAATGAATGTGTGAAACTGAAAGAGACGAACGACTCGTGAGCCCTGGAGTGAATGGATCCTGTGTTTCTATTTTTGTATACTTTGAACTGTCACTGAAAAAAGGCTGAAATAAAGCCCGAAAAACAAACACACACATTACACACACTCCTCACTCTCCACTTACTACCACACACAGACACACTCACACACGCACATCATACATACACACACACTCAGGAGCAAATTTTTGGGTCTGTATCTATTTCAATTTTCAAGAGCTAGTCTAGGGATTTTTAGATGAGTGTAAAAACGTGAAAAAGAAAGGTTTCACAACAGAAAGAAATCAAAATTAAAACAGCCCATAAACAACAACAAACATTAACAAATAAGGGCGTGTGTCCACCTGTCCGAAGAAGATTGGCTGTTTTAACCTGAAATGTGCATAATTTTTTTTTAAAGTACAGGATATTACATGTAAATTATGGAATCACACACATTAAGGGGCTTGCCAGTGTCAGGACAATAAATTGGCCGCAGCAGTGACAAACGCAGATGCCAGTTCTATGTGTCGTTATCAATAACCCTCCGTAGATCTAGATCTAGACAGCACACAAGTGAACACAACACATTACGTCCTTCATAGGCAACACGTCATATCTGTAGCGAAAAACTGTTTGGAATTGTAGCATTTCTTTATATAAATATTTACTGCGGACATTTTTTGGACCGATTGAACCATATTGTATACGAACAATCTTTGGTAGGCCTATACCATAATTATAGATCTAATATCTATAATATCCGAAATTTGCAGGAAAGGGTGAGATTTCAGAGTGTTCGGAGAAATAGTGCCCAGCTTTATTTTCCCGAACGTTCGGAGAAATAGTGCCCAGCTTTATTTTCCCAAACTTTCGGAGAAATAGTGCCTAGCTTTATTTTCCCGAACGTTCAGAGAAATAGTGCCGGCCATATAATTATCTCTATCTCTATCTATTTAATTATACATTTTTTTGTAAACTTAGTTGTAGAAAGAACGCTGTATTATGCTATTTAGTAATCTAGATATAGACTCTAGTATGCCAGGGCGTTCATGTAAAAAAAAAATCAACAAGGTCCATGCCTCGCCTATCGCGTATGAGAGAGAAAACATGCCTAGGCCTAGCCCATATTGCTTTAGGCCTACCATTAACTCCTTTGCACAGCTTGCCCCAAAAAACGTGGCGAACGCTGCTGTCGAATGTGGACATCGCGCAGTAAGGCGAGAGATGGGCATACTGTATCTAGTGCCTATAGTGTACATCTATGGCGCAAATATAGATGACATATTTCCGCCATCTATTTTTGTCGTCTTCCGGGGTTTCCCCCAGACTCTTGGGTTCCTTTGCTGGTAACTGTTCACTAGATCTTGCCGGGATTGTTTGGGGGGGGAGTTAGATTGTGTGTTTTTTGGGGGGGGTTTATTAATTTGTGTTATCTTTTAAAAACAATCTCAGCAATTCTCGTTCCATTTATTTACCTTCTCCTCAAAGTTGTACACACACGCGCACACTCACACACAAGCGTGCGCGTGCACACGCAGCCCAAGCAGTCGGCGATGAAACCTTGTGACGTTGCCCATGGCATGGGCCCACCACGGTGAGATCTAGTCTACTTGCTAGGGAAGCCCCGGAAGACGACAAAAATAGATGGCAGAAATATACCCTCTATATTTGGGCCAATCACAGAAGTGTGCTAGGTGTTCGCTGTAGCTTCATGTTACATCATCTAGCTGTCTTCGACAGGACTATCAAAAAGAAGAAAACAAACCATTCCCTTCTGAGGCCCCAACCTCTTGTGGTCGCTTGCCTAAGAATGCCATAGATCTGGCTTTTTTTTTTTTTAAGGATGTGTGTGTGTGTGTGAGTTGGGGGGTGGGGATGGAAGGAATCAGGCGCCCTTGTTGGGGCTTGGAGTTATTGGTAGCATCTTAAAACTTGTTTGTTTGTCTTGCTTTTGGTGAAGAAAATACCCTTCTATCTTGAATAGAAGTTGAGATATGTGCGATTGAAAGAGGTGGGAGGTCACCTGGTTTCTGAGGTAAAATTAGGAGAAAAGTGTGGTGACTTCCATAGCTTGAGAGTCCTTGAAAAGTAAAAATTTACATTTGTTGTGCCTTTAATCAACAATTTTTGGTAAAATTGACTCAGACATGTGTTTGTAAATGGACATTAAAAGTGTTAAAAAGCGAGAGAAAAAAATTGATAGAAATTGCCAAACTGGTGGCAATGGAAAAAATGCTGGCTCCTTCAATTTCATTATTTTGACGACCACCTGATTCCACCTCGATGCTTCTCATTATATATTATATGCTATACTATACTGATTAAATATAAGAAAAGTATTTATCTTTTTTGTTCAGTGGCTGCTACGACTATTTTTAAAAATACTAAATAAATGTAACAGAACTAGTACTAGTTTATCATTTTAATTATTATATCTGGACATCTTTCACAAGTTGTTCTTAGTTTACTTTTTACTTTTCCGAGCCACTGTGGCCTTACCATGTCGAGGAGAGAAGAAAAAGTCTTCCTCTTGTTTGCGTGTTGCATGGTTATTGTTTTGTCTAATGTTTTGTTGTATTGCCTGTTGCATGGTTACTGTTTTGTCTAATGTTTTTCTTTCCCCCTTAATCCATCTTTTCCCGAGCCTGCCTCTCTCTGTATCCATCTGCTCTCTGGTTGTACGCTTTGGCTATTATACTGTCTGGTAGTGGTCTTGACAATGTCCAAACCATTTTAGGCGATGTTCAAAGCAGGGTAAGCCATTATATTTGCATCACGATTCATTGTCTAAAAATTATGGACCATCATCAAAATCAAAGTGAGCCTTTGAGTTTTGTAGAAGTATGTTTTGAAAGAGTATTTTGCACTTCTTGATGAGTGAACATGCTAGCTCTGTAATTGAGTAGTTCTGATTTTCTTTCTCTTGTTTATAAATTTATTTATTTTTTCATTTTGCAGTGAAAATGGCTGACGCAGCTACCTCACAGACTACCAGTTGACAAGAAGTAGCCAAATTATTGTTGTATGACTCCAACAGACATTCTAATATGCAGTTGAGACGTGTGTGTACACCCTCTCGCTTCCTTTTTTGGTGCGTAGTGGCCATGGCTTTCTTTGTGGTGCTGATGATTTATGATACATGTGAGTATTTGGAGTTGATGTGGACAATGTATTATAATTATAACAAAATGTGACTTTTCTGAACTTGAGAAAAATTATTTCTTTTCTTCACCTAAATTTTGTAAAAGAGAAAGAATAAAAGTTAGTGCTTGTTGTTAAATGAGAGATAAATCATGTTTTGTGAAAAAAGAAGTGAATTCTGGAGTTCATTTCCCATGCCAGATATATCGGTGCCAGTTTTGGCCAAAGTTTGAAAATGGGTTTGATTATGGGGTGTCTAAAAGCTGTAAAACTATTTATATACATTTCCAACAGATGCAGGTGGATTAAATCGTGTGAAGTATTATTTTTTTCGGATTAAAATAAATATATTTACATTTGTTTAAGCTATTTATCCAGTGTGTGCTCATTTTGCTACTTTACTTGTCTGCATTATAGAGGTTTTTGTAGCATCAAATGTTCAGTGCAGATGATTGCCTGAATTTTAATGTCCTCTGAATTGTGGTTTTCTTTTCATTGCAACTTACTTTGTGTGGTCTAGGTTTGGGTGGTGGGTCTAACATCCTTGTTAAAACCCCTTACATCAATAGTGAGTGAAGCTAGAAGTTTACTATAGTTTCTGAGGTTTCTTTTAGTGTGTTTCGGGGTTTTTTAACATCAGTTTTCTTGCGGTAGTACAGTATAGCTTTTTTGTTTAAAAGTAATTATTATAGTAAATAGGTATTATTGCTTTATCTGAGGGCTGCTTTTACATGGAAATTCATTAGAAGTACTCTTTTGTCTTTTGAAAGTTGAACAGAACAGTTTTTACTCTTTCCAGTTCGAGAATGTGAAAGTGAGGAGCTGAGAGCTACGAAGAGATTACTGGACAACTATCATGAACAGAACCAGGAACTGAAAAATGACCAGTTTATCCTCAAGAAAAAATTGAAAGAGGCGGAGCAGCAGTTGTCTTCCTTGTCCTCCGACGGAAAGTCTAAGTGGGTTCCAGGGCTTCCAGTCATTTACCTCATTACACCGACATACACTCGGATGGAACAAAAGGCGGAACTGACCCGCCTGAGCCAAACACTGATGCACGTGAAAAACATACACTGGATTGTCATCGAAGACGCTGATGCAAAAACAAATCTCGTGGCTCGTTTCTTAAAACAGACGGGCTTCAACTATACTCATTTAAATGTTGCTACACCAGCACATTTCAAACTAGCTTCCAATGACCCCAGCTGGCTGAAGCCTCGGGGTGTTTTGCAGCGCAATGCTGGTCTTGCCTGGTTGAGGAGCAATACCAAGAAACAACCAGGCGTCTTGTTCTTTGTTGATGATGATAACACTTACAGTTTGCGGTTGTTCGAGGAGGTAAACTATTCTTACTCACCTGATACTCAAAATAATGTTCATACTGATTGACTATTCATATTGTATGTATTGAAGTTAATTTTTTTTTTTGAGGGGGGGGGGGAGATTTCAATTTCTGTTTGCCTGAAATGAAAGGACTCGTTATGTTGTGTTCCAGTTCAATGGACTTTAAATATTTCTTTCATCATATCATATGAGTTTCAATGGAATCTTTGCTTTTCAATGTTCCTTGATTTAGCATCAGTTAGGGTATCTGAATCTCTTTTTTTAGTTTTTTATTTCTATTTTCCTTTTGATTTGGGAGACTTTATTTGGTATAGGTTTTAGGAGTATCATTATGTAGTCATTATTGTTATTTATACATTTGTAGACATTTTTTTGATTACCTTTTACTTTTATTTAAATATGTTTTCACACTCTTTAAACAGCTTGTATTTTAGCCATTTATTCCTTTTGATGAAAGATACTTTGAATTCAGATATCTGTTGCCTTTAGATACATGTGTTGAAATACCAATATGAGGAATACATAATATATATGCTTATTTATCAATATTTTTACAGATGAGATTCACGAAGAAAGTATCAGTCTGGCCTGTTGGCATTGTGGGTTATTTACGGTATGAAACCCCTATTGTGACAGACGGAAAAGTAAGTTTAATACAGTGTGGGTGAATTTTGTCTATGCTTCAGTAAATGTACTTGTTTTCCTTTATATATTCATAATTCCATGATGTTAAAGTTTTTCTACTTATTGTGAACATACTTATTGAATTGTCGTACAGGTAAGAATCATATGAAAAGTAGTCTTATTATGTTGTCTCTTTCCCAAACTTGACATTTGTATTTCTTTGTCTATAATTATTTAACCAGTATTCTGTTGGGGTTTTTTTTTTGGGGGGGGGGGGTTGTTGAGAAGACTTAGGGAGAACAAGTTTATGAAGTTGGCACCGGGATAGTGGGAAAATATATTTGTTATTCCAAATTTGATTGGGCTCATCCCTTTGAAATACTGAACACAGTCCCCGACCCCCAGACCCCCACTATTTATTAGGTTCCAAATGTTTAGGGCTTTTACTGATTGTGAAATGTCTGGTTCTTGATTTATGATTCATTTTTTTGTTGTTGTTATTATGAGCCATTATCAAAGTCTCACTCTTTAAGTTTTGTAGAAGTATGTTTCGAAAGAGTATTTTGTACTTTTTGATAGGCGAACAGGCTATTTTGCAATATAGTTGAAAAGATTTTCTTTCCTTCTTTTATGCTGGTGTGTAGAAAATGCATTGTTATTTCTTCAGGTGACAGGATGGTTTACCTACTTCAAACCGACCCGCCCGTTCCCCATGGACATGGCTGGCTTTGCTGTGAACCTGGCTCTGATCCACTCGCATCCAGGCGCTGGATTTTCTAATGAAGTTGAGAGAGGCTATCAGGAATCCACCTTCCTCACAGGGCTGGGAGTCACCCTTGATGATCTAGAGCCAAAGGCAAACATGTGCTCTGAAGTGAGTTCTCATATATATATATACTACACATGATTCAACCTGTAACTGATATGATAAAATCCCAGGAGAAACCTACAGTTAAGTGCAAGTACATGATGATACAGAACTAGATATATATATATACATACATATATATATATATATAAATATTATATATATATATATATATATACACATATATATATATATATATATAAATATTATATATATATATATATATATATATATACATACATATATATATATATATATAAATATTATATATATATATATATATATATATATATATATATATATACATACATATATATATATATATATCATGTGTAGTTTACATGGGATTTTTTTTCCCTTTTTGTTTTGCCTTTAACTTTGATGAACCAACTTAATTTTGAGATACAGGTATTGACGGCTACCTGTTTGAATGTCAACTGCTTGGTGTATTATATTTTCATTTTTAATTGTTTCAGCTAAGAAAAAAATTCTGTTTTTCTTCTGGGCCACAGAGACGTTATTAAAATCTAAATTTTCAGTCTGTGAAAGATAAATGTGAAAGACAAAGGATGGGTACTTTTCGCGTTTCTATTTACTCCCTCTTTTACCAAGACAAAACTTATACAGTCAAACCTGCTCGAACAACCACCTGAACAAGTCAAATGACCACTTCACACTTCCACCCGTACTTTTTTTTCTATATATTGTTATAATGACAATTTTCAAGAGGACCACCTGTCTGAGATGACCCCTTTTCACTTCAACAATGGATTATCATCGTCTTGGGTGGGTTCATCTGTTTTTAAAAATGCAACACCTGAATAATATGTTACAGCATTTTGAAATATGTCTGCTAAAGTCCTGATCATTTCCCACTTCAGTCTCAGGACCTACAGGTTGTCCCTTGTTGGATGGTCAGGATGAAGAGAGTTAAAACGTTTAAAACAGTTCTTTAAGGTCCGTGAAGGAGCTTTGGGTAAAACAGTCTTGTGTTTGCCATGATTCCTGAAACTAAGTGTTAAGCTTAAAACATAGCCTAGCATTTAACAATATATATATGTTTTGATTCTATTGAATGTGAACCGTTACCATCTGGCCAGGTTTTTAACTCTATAAAAGAATTCTGCAAACTAATTGTCATTTACTACAGGAAAACTGCATCATAAACTCATTCTTGTAAATGTTTATATCCACTTTCAAAATGAGGTTCTCATGCTGTATACAATTTTTGTCTGGGGGTATATTTTAAGTTGTTTTTGTTGTTCACAGTATTTTCATTTTACAACTAATAATAATAATAGGATGTAATGTCTTAATTAACTCTTTGAAACCAGCATGTCCACTCAACAGATTCTGCATTATTGTGTTTTCCTGTTTTCCTCATTTCAGCTTGCCTGTACTACAACTGTCCTCACATATCAAATCTTTCTTCTTCTTTTCTTAACATTTTGGTGTGTAATTCACACTTGTAGCTCCAAATCTTTCTCTTTTATGTGGAAAATGCTAATGTATACATTATATTTCAAAATAAATTTGTCCCAACAAAGCAAGGAATAGACTTACGACTTGTTAGAGTGAATCAGGGTTTGTTTATATAGATAGTGACTTGTTTAACTGAAGGAATTTTTAAAACTAAAGATTTCAAATAAAATGACAGATTTGATGCTGTGGAGGTTTCATTGAAGCTTGTGCTCCTTTGTAGTAAAATTGTCAATCTTCATCGCTTTCAATTATCCATAGAGTTATTTTTATAATTTAAAATATAATATATATATTTATTTAGCGTTTGCCTTTTTTTCACCCCCAGGTTCTTGTTTGGCACACGAGGACAGAGAAAAGTTCCCTGAGGAATGAGGAAAAAATGTGGAAGAAGTACGGCCTGCAGTCAGACCCAAACATCGAAGTGTGAAGCCCATTATATTTTATTCTGCACTGTTATGTCGTTAAACGTATTACTGACTGCTTTTTGGGGTTTTTTTTAATATTTGAGTTAGATTATAGATCAGTGGCTGTGAAAAAAAGATCTTACAATTAACAATTGCCATTTGTGATGAGTGTTGAGAATATTTGTTTACTAATTTGAGAGTTAATTTTATTAATTATCTGTTATAATTCCCCTGAATATCTGACTTTCTGCTGATGCTTTGTACAGTTGTAGAATACAAGATACTTTATTAAAAGAACTACATATGTCCATTGCTAAATGTTGAGATTTTAAATACAACAATTTATTATATTTTCAAGTGACCCAGGCTCTTCTCATTTCGAAAGCTTACTACTTACTGCGTAAACGAGACTTTTTTTTTTTTTGGAGGGGGGGCATAAATAGTACTGCGAAGACTGTGTATGTGTGTGTGAGGGGGGGCAGTAGTGTGTGGGCAAACTTATAATGTTAAAGACTGTCTCAGTAGTTTGTTATTAAGTTTGTTCAGAGGCCAGACTTCATGATATCCCCCCGGGGTAGTGCCACTGACTGAAGTGTCTTTAGGCCATACCCAAAGGGGGGACATTTCTCGTTCTAATGCACTGTAGAATTGTAAATGGGCTGATCCAACAATGTCATGCTCATAACTGTGCCTGAACTACAACAGGGAACTGCTGCTTTTCTTTCCTAATCCTTACTATTGTCATATTCTTCTACTTCTTTTGTATGTTTGTCACACTCTTGTGACCCGCTATTTCCGTAGTGCCTTGATAGTCGAAGCAGACTTTGTGCTGTTGAAGCTAGAGAGGTGAGCAGAGTAAGCCTGATTCCCTGTAAAGACTTCTCTGTTGACATCCACCCCTTGGCGCTCATGTGACCTTATGCAGTTGCGAGCGCCGTAAAACCCTCTACTAAAAAAAATGTTCATGATACATGTATGTATGATACAATTTCATGATACATGTATGTATGATACAACTTTATGATTCATGTATGTATGATACAACTTTATGATTCATGTATGTATGATACAACTTTATGATTCATGTATGTATGATACAACTTTATGATTCATGTATGTATGATACAACTTTATGATACAGCCTTAGCCCCCTTCTTGAGGGTTCTTTTTCTTTCTATTGATGCCATGCGTAACTTATATACTAATACTGAAGTTGTTCCTGACTGAATTTTTTCTTTTTTTTTTTTTCAAGTTGAATTGGCCAAACTGATCACTTTTTTGTTGTTGCTTGTTTGTGTCTATTTATTTTGTGTGGATTTATAATATACAAATAAAACCATCCCCTCATAATATGAGCTTCCTAGGACCAGAGAATTTGTTCATGTTCAGCAGAATTTGTACTTAGCAGAGCGCTTTAATGAAAAGAATTTAAAAAGGAGATGGCGGCTCCTGTCCAACTGTTTATTACAACTGGAACTGACAAGATAACATGCAACTCCTTGTGTAGTGTTACCTATCTTTCGCCATTAATAACAAGTGCGGAGCTGTTAACTTTCGGAATTGGAAAAAAGGGGAAACTTGTTTGTTTTGTTTTGGTCATATAAACGTGCAAGGGAAACCTTATTTTCAACCTTGATCAATGTATAAGAACAAAGAATAAGATGGAATTTATAAATCATAGCTGAAAATTATAAAGATAATACCTCTATAAAACAAACAATAACCTGTTGAATGTGAGTTGTGTGACATGTATTGACAACATCAGGCTACTGTGAGTAGGGGAAGAAAAGGAAAGGGAGGGGGATTCTGGCGGGAGGTATGATGAATTTGGTTGTGTGAACCAGATCTGCTTGAATTTTTTGTCATATTAAGGAAAGCTGCACTTAATAGAATAAAAGGGGTAAGCGGAAATTTAAAATCCTTTGATGTGATCAGGAATATCAAATTAAACGTGTTTGCTGCAGAATCTGCTGTAGTATGTAAACAAAAAGTTTTTTTCTCTTTACTTTATAGTTACAATTCTTAGGTATTTGGCATGTAATGTACTCAATTTAAGTATTATTGCAGTTATCACTATTTTGCGTAAAGCTTTATTTATCTATTCTGCTTAGTTCCTATTCTCAAGCATTGGCTTGTAAGAGGGAGTTGATATGGTGGGGTGAGACATCCCAACTACAAACACACACATGACATAGGAAGGTCTCTGGGGTTCTCTATGATATTTCTAATGCTGTGTGAAGGTGGAAGTTTTTAAATGTACGTACCACAAACATGAAGAGTCTCAGGCAATGAAAGTTGTCCCATGTGCAATACTTTGCTGCAGCAATAGAACCTCTAACGTCTTTCAGAGTGCTTCCTATTTGCTGGACTTAGTGTTGTCTTAAGTTGTGAGTGGGACTGGGAGTAGAAAATCTTTCCAGGACTCTTTAAGTTGTTGGTAGGAATTTGAAATATACATTAACTGATTAAGCTTACCATTCTTGTTACTTGTGTTCTGAATTGCAATATAATGAGTGTCAATTTTTTCAACTTATTTTACGTCAGTATACAGTTGAATCTCAAATTATCTTATTTATATTATTGCCAGTTATTGTCATATATTTTCCTAAGTTGAAGCTGTCGTTCATTGGTAAATGCTTCTTTTTTCTCTTTCATTTGGGACGTGCGACTGTAGGTCTTTGATCTTCCTCAGCACTTTACGGCCCAGGTTTTTTCGTGAATTAAACCATAGCATTTATTCGTCCATCATGCTGAAAGATATTTTTAGCTACCTCTTGACAAAATGACCAAAGAAAAGACTCACATTCCGTTCTTTTTATAAATCTCTTTGACATTCTGAACAATAGATGAATATATATAATATATATATGTTATACCACTATTAGATGTTTTATAATATAATAGAATAGTTTGAATTGTACTGTGCTGAGTTGTGCATCTTCTTAATGAGTGGCACTAGCATAAGTCTGTCCCCATCGTTTTATGCAAGAAAAATTCTGAAATTATGCATACTGAGCCTAAAAATGTGAAATTTTGCGATTCTGTTAATTTTAACAAAGAATGATTAAGGAAAATAATCAGAAATTATGCAAAAAATGATCACATTTTGCTAACTTATGCATGGTGCATAAAACCACAGGGACAGATAAGTGGTTGTCATAATCAAATCTATGCAAGGGTGGTCAGGTTTTTTCTCAGATAGTGAGAGTCATTACTTAAAATTCCTTTCATTATTGTCAACATTGCATGAATTAGTAAATTTATGATGTCTTTGTTCAATAATAATTAACAATTGTGCCTGTTTTTTTATGGGGGGGGGGGGGAGATTGTTAAAAGAGAAAGTGTTATTAGTGAGTATTCTTTGTGTATTCTTGCTCTTGTGTGTTATGATCTTACATTTGTGTATTTTTGCACAAAACGCCTAGATCTAATCCTATGGTAAAGTGAAATTTTTCTCTTGTGCGAGGGATATTACCCCAATGACACTTGAATCCTGTCATAAGGTGTGTGAGTAATTTGTGTTTCTGTCATATTTCGGGAATTATATCACATTGTTGGTAAATTTTGCTGACACTTAGCTTTAGAACTTTCTTTAAAATTTCTGTGTTGGGCCAAAACAGGACCTGGTCATAGATGGCTCTTCAATAAATCAAAATTGATGTTGGTCCAATTTCAAATTTTATGATTGTTTCAGTGACCATGCCTACTGGTTCTGAAATTACTGATAATTTTGATGCACCTTAGATACTCACTGCGGTCAAGCAAACAAGCTGTTATACACTTAAATAAAAGGGTGCACATTTCTTCATATTACAAGTTATAATCATATAAACAAATGTATTTTATACTTTCTAAACATGAGGGCACCCCCCGGGGCGGTGCCACTGACTGAAGTGTCTTTAGGCCATTCCCAAAGGGGGGACATTTCTCGTTCATTCACAGTAGAATTGTAAATGGGCTGATTCATCAATGTCATGCTCATAACTGTGCCTGATCTACAACAGGAAACTGCTGCTTTTTCTTTCCTAATCCTTACTATTGTCATTTTTCCTCTACTTCTTTTGTATGTTTGTCACACTCTTGTGAGGCTTTCCAATCTAACATCTATCGTCGTTATCTCCCCTCCTTCTTTTTTATGTTTGTTACTCTCTTGTAACACCTCTAATCTTCTGGCGCTCATATGACCTAATGCAGTTGCGAGCGCCGTAAAACCTCTACTAAAACAAACAAACTATTACTGGGGTGCCTTGATAGTCGAAGCAGACTTTGTGCTGTTGAAGCTAGAGAGGTGAGCAAAGTAAGTCTGATTTCCTGTAAGGACTACTTTGTTGACATCCACCCCTTGGCGCTCATATGACCTTATGCAGTTGCGATCGCCGTAAAACCTCTACTAAAACTAAACTAAAACATGAGTGCATGAGTAGGCCTACTCATGCTGATGCCTGTGAATGTGAGTGCCTCCATCTTATGAGGTGTCAACAAAAAATGAAAATGCTTGGGAGTTCTTTGCTTTGGGAGCGCATTTCTTTTGCATAAATGTAGCCTACCTCACGTTGCTTTTGAAATGGGATTGTTCACTTTTCAAATAAAATTGTAAAATTGTCATAGTGCCTGGTAATTTATTTGAATAACTTCTTTTGGTTCCATCTTCTATTTTTGCTGGAGGTTGGCGGGTGCTCTGGTGTGGTTTTGTCCTTCTGTCCTGTCAAGCGTCTCTCACCCTTATCTCCCCTCTTTCTTTTCTTTGTGCAGTCGGACACTGATGACACGTGGGTGGTTGACGGGTGCTCTGGTGTGGTTTGCTTCTTCTTTCCTATCAAACATGTATCGACCTTATCTCCCCTTCTTCTTTTTTATGTTTGTTACTGGTGCTCTTATGGCCTTATGCAGTTGCGAGCACCGTAAAACCTCTACTAAAAAAACAGATGACACGAACATGAAAAACTCAAAATCACGTATAGCTCATACAATTTGCAATTCCCCAACTGATATCTCTTTTATGTTTCTTTATCAGTAAATCGAATTATGGGTATGTCGAACACACTTGTCAATCTCAACGTGTTTGAGTTATCCTTGCATGTTTGTTACTCTCTAATCTTTAGCACTTATATGAACGAACGACAGTATAACACAGATAGGTCGAACACATTCGTCGAACTGTGCCTGCGATCCCGCGGTTTTTTTTCTTTTTTATCTATGTAAGATATCCCTCAAACTATGGATCCCTCGAACTATCTAGGCCGGTCCCGACGAATTCGAGCTATCTGTGTTATACTGTATTTGTGTTGCAAGTGCCGTAGGTAGAAATCTTGCACACAAAAATTAATTTTTAAATCTTTCTTTGGGAAATGCCATGCTAAGCTGCATCCTGTTTCTATGTAGGCCCCTACATGTTGTATTTGCTTGTGATAACAGTCACACCTTGTGTTTGTCATAGTACACTCCGAAACATCCTCAGCTTCACGGGAAGCATACAGTGCTGGCAGTTCATTAAGCGCTCAAACACTGACAAACTAACAAGATCTTTCACCGTCTATAGCTTGGTGTCCATTCCCACCTGGGTGAAGTGAGGAAAATTCGTCTAAAGTGCCTTTCCCAAGGACATATTGTCAGGTCCCTGCCGGGATTCGAACCCACAACCTTATGGTTGCGAGTCTGAGGGCCAAACCACTATGGGGAGGGGGGAGATTTTTGAACAGCTGAATAGCTCCACTATAGTAATAGCTCATGGGTCCCGTAATAGCCCGCCACCAAGGGCCTGAGAATTCTAGTTTCATAACCCCCTTGCCCACTGAACTGATCAGCACACCAGCCTTATACTTATACTAGCTGATTTAGATTGGGCACATACTAACTTAACTAACTGAAAGGAACATTATTCCTGTCTCCAGTATTAAAAGCATTGACATAGGCCTGCAGATATGGGGAAGACTCCAGGCACACACAGTGCCTTTTTCCTGCCGCCCACCAGCAAGTCTCTTTGGCATCATTTCGGGATTCCCCAATCCACTGGTGTCAGTGATCTACCCATGCCTGTTATAATCTATGGTTATTTCTGTCTGCTTAGTTCAAAGGTCAGAGGTGAAGACGAGTTTTCCGAACTTTAGGTCTGGTATTACATATATCGAACATTTAAGCCTAGAAGATGACATTCAACTCAATTTTTCCAAAGTTTAGCCTCCCACTATCTTTGGTTTAGCTCGGTGCTTCAAAACGAAGTATTTGAGAGCAGAAGAGGCACGGACGGTAAGCAGTCATCGTTCAAATTCAGGGATTGCATCCTCGCGACGTACCTAGCAGTAGGCCAATGCCCTGGTGCCCCAGCAGAATTTCGTATTGTGCTGCTTTACATTACAACGATAACCTGCACGAACTGCAACTTGACTTGCTGATTGCTTTGTGTTTTTAAACTGGACAATGGCAGCTGAGAAGGTAAAGTTTTTCCCCCTATCTACCTAGGCTTCTGTCTGTGCCTATTTGATCAACATAACGGCTTGCTTTCCATAATTTTACATTGCTCTACCTCATATCGTTGCTGGCGCAAGCAATCCACTTAAGTCCAAATTTTGAGAATTTTCGTTTTTTACACCCTCCTAGATCTACCTAAATCTCTATTATAGCCAACAGAGATACAACTTTCACTTTCAACATCACATCACCAAAAAAAAAAATGCTTTGGCCAAGGCTTATTAAATTGTCTTGCTTTTCATGAGTAATGATTTGTGATAGAAAAATAACACAACAAAGGTTAAAAACTAGACAAATTTTTATCTCTGCTTGGTACTCTGGCTCAGTGTAAACAGTATAAAAAAGACTTAGATTAGTTAGATCTAGATTCTACAACATCGACATTTTTAGTGTTTCATGTAGGCTATATTGTTTAAATTCTTTGTTCAATCAAGAATTTTGAAAGTTCAAGCAAGTTTCTGTGAAAATTAACCCCAATATACCATTTAAAATTTTTTAAGTGTAAGTAGCCAACATTTTTTTTTATGGCCCCATCAACACAATTTCGATCATCAAGGACGCAGGCTTCTGATCCTGCTTAATTGTCAGGACCAACATACGGGCTGAGAGACACAACTCAGCACCCGAGCAGGAAGAACGATCCGAGATGCTCAACTCAATAAAGATTTTCCCAACTGGGGACTGTATTCAGGTCTCCTGCTTGCGACAGGGAATTTAAACCCCTTTTATAACTACAATTCCACAGACGCGGGTAACAAGCCAAAACTAACCATACAAAAATATGTCAACAAAACCACTAAAACTTATTAGTATCACTGAAAACACATGAAAATGTCTTGAATGTATTCCAATCTGCTGCCCAAAAATGTAAAACTTCACAAAAATTTTGCTGTCTCAGCTTCTCGAAACTTCACTCTACGATATCAACTAAAGATACACACACACAGTTATCCCATTTCTGAGAAAAATTGTTCAGAATACAGAAAGTGCCATTTTGCCCTCTGCTGTGTTTTCCGCCATATCTGACTAAATATTCTAACCAAAAACCCACTTTCTCAGGCTTTATTCTCACTCTAGGCTAATTCCTAGATTCTGGTCCATATACTTATAGTTAGAGCCCTTTTGTTCCCTGGGGTTTGCAAAGAACACGAGGATTCAGTGGCGGCGGGTGGATCAAAAGTTGTGTAGGGCTTCGGTTGCTTCCACTTCTTTATTATCATAAAGTAGCAGAATAAGAACACAGTGATAGTTTTTCTATATTTCACGGTGAACCGCAGCATTTTGAGATCCATTCAAAAGAGAAGAGTCTCCTATTTGTCTTCCATCATCTTGTTCTAATTAAGTCACATTCTTCTGGATTGTGGGGACGAAGCAGTTTCCCCTACAAAATTGCTGTAATTTCATCTGGTTTGACGTGATTACTGTTAAATTTCAGCAGCACAAACACAAACATGCACACACACAGCACTTCAACCATTATTCCGTCGATGACCTGGATAAGGCAGTCGCGAAAAGTAGAAGTAGAACGCACCTAACAAAGGCCCAATGAGCGCATAGGTAACTGTGTCACTGGCGGAAAGTGTGTCGCAAACTTTCACCCCATTTTCAGGGATAGGAGAGCGTGAGCCCTCTGCGCAGTGTTCTTTTTTCAAATCTTCTATCTTTTTACAAGAAGAGTTTCATTAAGGACGGTCCGTGGGAATGGGCTTATCCTTTGCTGAGCCCTAAAGACATTTGATTGGCTGTTAGGTTGCTATAGTTGTAAGCGGTGACAACAGTGATTTGGAAAAACGATCAAGCCGCCAAGCTGATCACTGTGTGTTCATTACGTACGATCAAAGCGGTTTCGACTGCTGTTTTCGTTATAAGAAACTTTCATTTACTAAGGGATCAGAGTTGGGGTGGAACACCACTGCGAGTATTATTAGATGTGTTGTTACTGTCCGTATGATATATGATAGTTAATGGCAGAGGTAGATATGCCACTGTTGCTGATGTTGGATCTGTCAATAAAACCCTACATATTGTGATATATTGTTCAGTCTATGGGTACAAATAGATTTAGAAAGAGTACCTTGAAAGGGCTTTGTTTTATTTTTGTCCTCTTGTACACTTCTCACCGTAAAGTGACCACTAATTTAAAAGAAGAGGTACTGTCTAAATCCTGATAGGTTACACAACAGTTATAACATTATTAATGTAATGTACATTTTTCCGCACATCATGTAGTTGATATTTAAGAAACAATGTCAAATCATTCATTTACTAAAAAGAAATTTCTTCTGAAGTTTATAAAGCTAAACAGTGCACTGAGCCCAAGATCAGTAGTTTTTTGTTTGTTTTGTTTTCTTCTACTCTGAAATGTGCTGATGCTTTTTCTTAGTTTGGACTCAGTTGTGTTTGAAAAATTGGTTAGTTGCCATTTTGTTTTGTAAAGTGATTTGTGGAAACATTTCTTCTGTTTCAGATTATACTGTATGGGTTCTACAAAAGTTCGTCCTCATGGAGACTTCGTATAGGTATAGTTTGATTTTTGTTCCTTCTAAGTGAAGTAGGAGAATTTTGAATAAGGCAAAACAAAAGATTTCCTTGTCACAACTTCTCTTGCTGCTTCTTCTTCTTCTTCTTCTGCTGCTGCTTCTGTTGCTGCTGCTCCTCCTCCTCCTCCTTCTCCCTCCTCCTCCATTTTAATTAACTCTTTCCTGTTTACTCAAGAGTAATTGTAGTGCTTGCCACATTTCCACTAATTTGTGTGTGGATGGCCTACATTCCCTTTTGAGCATATTAAATTGCCTCTTTTCTTTACAGCAGCCATGTGCATATATTGCCTTTTGCGAAAGCTTTCTAAACAAATTTTTCTGATCAAAGTTTCACGAATTCACCATACAAATTTTTTTTGGTCCTTGCTGCGAGCTTTGACAGGCTTGCTTCTTTTTGGCTTTCGGCATACCAAAGGTGTCTTCAAAGTGCCCTGCATGCAAATGGGACCTTCAAAGTTTTGGTACCTTTTTTTTTTGGAAAACACAAAGTGTGAGGCCCCATCTGTCACAGGACCAGGTTTGCAAAAAAACTGATGGAAATTTTTTTAAATCATACAACTTTGCCTACTACAAGAATCTGGAATTGTACCTGGTGTAGTAGGCCTTGACAGGCAAGAGTTTCATCGGGGGGGGGGGGATACAGATAAAAGACCCCCACCCCCACCCTCACATTCCATCTCATTTGATTAATTTCACCGTGTCAGAGAATGGACTTTTTGGATATCATCAGCGTCATTTCACTGAGTTGTCAAAATCAGTTTCTGGTATTTTCGCGATAAATCAGTTATTCAAATAAAGATGTCGATGGTCGTTTCACAAAAAAGGTTTGTTTAATTTCATAATTTTCTTCCCAGTTTTTCTTTGAAAAAAAACGAGTGCTGTCCAACTTAGAATGTACAGAAGAGCTCCCAAGGCCTGAGTGCAAGTTTTAATTTCAAATATTTTGTCATCAGGAAACATTGCTGAAAGCAATCATGCCAATTTCAAGGAGATTTATTCCTTTACCTTAGCCTTTCTGAATTTATAAAAGTCTTCATTCCAACCCATTTCAATATTTTTTAACCTGTTGAGTCTAGTTTGTTTCAAGATGCTCCTGTTATTGGTAAGAAAGAAAGCTAATCATCATACATCCCGCTTGTATTTTCAGCGCTGGCACTGAAAGGTCTGGAACATAAGAAAGTATCTCTCAGCTTGGTAAAGGGAGAGCATGTAGGTGATGACTTTAGATAAATTTCTATTCTTTTTAAAGGGGAAGCTTATTCTTTCTTTTTTATTTCATCTTATTTTCAAAATTGAAGTACGGTCGAGGCTTGTAGACTCCACACAAAGGCACACTGTGTGGTTACAAGCTGGCTGAGACAAGTGATCTCTTTCCCAGTAGTTGACAATAATTGATCCTGGTAACCTGGGGGGGTTCTTATGGTAATAATCAAGGGGAAGACCACGTAGGACCCAGAGAAGAGTCACAAAAATAAATGTACAGATAAGTGGGGAGACCTGAAATAACATCAAGCGGCTAGCGCAGAGCCTATATCCTGATCCAGGGTGAGAAAGGCAATGATGATAATAGTGTTCTGTACTTTATTGGTAGTGAGTGTTGCAAGAGATGCTTGCCATCAACTGACAGAGTGTGAGTCTACAGCATGACTGAAAAAAATTCAAAGTCTTATAGGTTTTTTTTGCTGTTATTTACGCACAGAAAACATTTCCATTTTGAATGAAAATACATGGTGTTATAATGATAAAAGCTAGTCTGGTGATTTCATAATCTATGACTCGTTCAACAATAAGTCCTTTTTAATCCTCTTTTCTTATAAGTGCATAAATTTACAATTTTTTCTTTGAAGTGAAAATTTCGAGTCTTCTGTTTTTGACCTATCCGTATTATACTGTATACAACTTAATTACAACAGCAGAACACCAATCCTACTTTTGTGACTTTGACTGCGATAAACTAGAAACAATGATACTGTTGAGACGAATTCAAGTTTTACCTGATCAACTGTATACCTTGCACCTCTTTAATTCACAGCTGACTGATGAGTTCAAAGCGTTGAATCCAATGCGTCAGTTGCCGACACTGTTCATCGATGGGATGCACCTCTCTCAGTCTGTGAGTGCTGCTAAGTCGCATGATTTTGTTTGGAGGTTTATTAATGTTTGGACTGTTATGCGGGCCACACACAACACAGGCCGTCCTTCGGATGATCCTTGAGGCCGCCTTGAGTTTTGTCCTGAGGCCCGCTGAGATGACCTGGGCCGAGTGCACAAACACGGCACTGGCCAGGACTGTGCAAACCTAGTGCATACCATTGTGACGACAAACCACAAATCTAGCTATGGGTCTATATTTGAAAAAGAAGCAAAAGAGGCTTTGGTCCAAAAAGTGGCTTCTCCATAGGTCTAAACACTCAAACATCAACTTGCTTCGTGAATTGATGGATTATTCTTCAGACCCACGGATTGATTTACGAATGGACGACAGCACGTTCATCAAGCTGCTGCTCATCGTGAGTCCCTGGACAAACAAACAGAATACCATGATGAGTGAGACAATTTTGCCACATGAGAGATTGACTACAACATTGATATTCCTGGCAATACGCAGATCATACAAGGATCATTTTGTAATGACACTGTTCCTTACAGCATTTGTGTCAAAGTTTTTCTCGTAACTAACAAGCTCCTCCTATGCTTTGTCTTTGAGTTGTCTGTTGCCGTCCTCTTTGCACTTAAGGGGGGGGGGCTACACCCCTAAAGTCAAGATTCGGCACAAAATTATGAAATTTGAGTTGTAGGCATTTTTAGCTTCCTCAGCCACTCTTACAACTATTTCATCGCATAAGAACAAAAAAAAAACGTATTTTTTCCCATACCGGGAATGTTTGTCACCACCATTTCTTCATAAAGTCAATATTTTATTTTTCTTTATCGTCCGTTTTTTCAAAACGCGACTTTTTTCTATACTTTTTTAAATAACTCCACCATTTTTCATCCAATCTTCATTAAATTTTCACAGAATGAAGAGAAGATGTAATACTAAAAATTTGTCTGTTGAATTTTTGATATATGGAATAGATTTTTGTTGGTGGTGTCTGGAGTGTGGATTTTCACTGATTTTTAAAAAACTTGAATGCTACCTCAGGAAAAAATTCATAAAAAATTTTCTAATTCGTTTAGGAAAAAAACAACAGACAAATTTTTAGATCTAATATGTGTTAACACGCATGCAAAAAAACAATCAATTTCCAAGAGCGACAAGTGCGGTATTCATTACGTAAGACATGTCAACAAAATCCAATATGGCCGCCGTATCCATGGAAACAAACTGTTTTCTCAAATTTGATTGCGGATTTTAAAACTCCTTACATGAATGTGGTAAAATTCGGTCCAGTAATAAGCGAGATAGCCTTCAGGTGTAGCCCCCCCCCCCCCCAAAGTCATTGATATTTTTTTGTATACATCAATCAAGTCCAAAGCATTGTCTTTTGACCACGTTGCCCTTTTCTTTCATTAAAACACCTACTCAGCACACTGGCCTCATCATCAGTTTATGCTAATATCAGAGTGTATTAGTGGGTGGTTGGTGGATGCTCTGGTGTGGTTTGCTCCTTCTTTCTCTTAAAATCAAACGTCAATCATTCTTATCTCCCCTCGTTCTTTTTTGTGTATGTTACTCTCTTGTGACACTTCTAATCTTGGGCACTTATATGACCTATTTGTGTTGCAAGTGCCGTAGAACTCTTATTAAAACTACTAAACTAAAGAGTGTATTCGAACGTATTTCTTAGCAGACAAAGTTGATGCTTAAAGTCAGCCATAAAAAAAGATATTTGCATAGTCAAAAGATATTGCTCAGACCCAAGATTTCTAACTGGTTGTTTCCTCTTCCGAATGTTTCTATGGTGACAGATTTGTTTTATGGGGTAGAGGTGCCAGTCCTTCACTCAAACCCCCACCCGGAGGACCAGGTGTCTTATTTTGTGTTGCTGTTTAGTTGCCTCTTACAACACGCTAGCTCCATGTTCAGCCCTATTCTTTTCAAATTCGGAGACTACATCACAGGTTTTGTACCTAGCATGAGAGATCAATGTTGGGGGGAAAAAAGGGGCAGAAACATTTGCAATCAGGGTGTCTAATTATTAGACTTGTGAATTCAGATGTCGATTTATATATTGGTTATTGGAGGAGAATGTTCAGCAGTTTTTATAATATTACTTTGTGCTGCGAAAGGGTTTGTCTGAGGCCTACTTTATCCTATTTATCTTCATTGCTGCTACCGTTTGGTGAAATGTGCACCACAGTAGTAAAGAGTTACGCTGTATGTTTTCATTGAATAGAATATCAACCTTCATATTATTTCATTATTCTGGAAAAAGAAGCAACAACAAAAAAATGCCTTTCTGAATTATGCATAATTTCCTGATTTCTATTCCAACACTGCATTATCTTACTTTTGTCTGTTTTTCTTTGAGATAGATACCAATTATGGAGTACTTGGAGGAAAGAAATCCGTCTCCTCCTCTTCTGCCAAGAGACAAAGTGGCCAGAGCTAAGGTATACATGATGGTGTGATCTGGTACATGAAAGATTGAAACATGAAAGATTGAAAAGGAAGTGAATTCTTTCATAGTAAACAAGATAAACTCGCTGTCCGCTCCCAAATTAATTTTTTCTTCGCATTCACAATGTATGTAAAGAAGTACACACACACATATGTTATATATATTTGTGTGTGTGTGTATGTGTGTACTTCTTACATTATATCTTATATTATATCTTCGTTCAATGGATTTCTAGCAATAGAAATTCCTTTGAGAGGAAGTAAATTTACCTGCTCGTTTGAAACCTACATTCATTTTACTCTTTTATAGAACCTTGAAGTTTTGCGAGATGCCAGCAAGATTCTTATTCTGCTTGTTTTATTTTGATTTGTATTCATTTATTCCCCTCTCTGGTGCTCCATGCACTCGTTAATATGTTGTGACCTTTGGTTTTACGTAATGTGTTTTTATGGAGATATGATTTGTGTTTTAGGTGAGGGCCCTGTCGGAAGTGGTCAACAGCGGCATTCAGCCATATCAAACAGTGGGTGTTATCAAGAAAGTTCAGGAGACGCACAAAGACTGGGGACACTTTTATGTCTCTAGAGGTCTTGAAGGTGGGTGTCATACCAGAAACATGAAAGCTTGCTGGGGGGGTTGGGGGGGGGGGAGGTTCAACTTGCCGTGAGTGTTCGCATTTAAAATAGCATCATTTTGATGTTAATTTTTTTAAACCAAATACTCCTTTGAAGAAAGGTCAAGTGCATGTAGTTTTATATTAGAATACCTTTGTGGGAATTTTTTTCTGCTGGGGATGACACAATTAAGTATGATACCGGGTACATAAAACTTGATTTGTCTTTTTAAAATTCTCTGTTTTTGTCTATAAAACTGTGTACTGATATACATTTTATGTGTGATTGCAACATGTAGATGAGATCACCGGCAAAAGAGTGAGTCATAGTCTTGACATTCTGGTTTATTACAAGTTCCCTGTGACAGTGATCGCCATGTCTGGTCAGATGGAAGTTTATTTCATTCTTTTCATTGTAGTTCGATAAATATGTTTCTGTAATATCAGAGTGGTGATAGGATGATTAAGAAGAAAAAATGTTATTGCAGCGAAACATTACATGATTTTGACATTTCATTTTTTATTATAAAATCAAATTTGCTGCTGTCATTCTTTGATTATCTTAAAAAGAGTGGAACTTAATTTTTTTAATGTTCAAGGTCTTTTTAAAAAAAATGATATTATCCCACTCTATTTTCCTTACTTTAGCGCTGAATAGCTTGATGCAGGAGACCGCAGGGAGGTACAGCTATGGGGACCAGGTGACTATGGCGGACGCTTGCCTTGTTCCTCAAGTGTTCAGTGCTCTCACAAGGTAGGCCTCTGTTTTTCTCTCCCTTTCTCTTAGTGTTTTCTGCAGCTATCCCTGGCTCCCTCCTACTGCTGTCTTTCAGCCACACCCTGATCTTAGGGTAGGTAAGATCAAACACCTAGCCTGCAAGCTGCACATGTTTTTAAAGATCCCTTGGTGGTCCTGCAGTCAATAACAGTAGGCTTGGGCCACAACTCCAACTATGCTAATGTGTAGTGTAGTCGACTCCGCTTGTGCTGATGTTGTCGGGGGAGGGAAAAAAAGATCAACTCTTCCAAAGTTCAACTTAACTGTTGGGAAATGTATAGAAAAAGAGGTGCTGGGACCCGTGAAAAAGATCAACGTAACGGAAGATCAACTCAAGCGAGTTCAGCACAAGCGGAGTCGACTGCATATATTGCCGCTGCTCAAGACAAATGAGTAGCTCCAAACGTAAACTTGCTCATCCTGCAAGGCAGGCTGTAATAGAGTTACACATTTTTCTTGTAACAACACCAATATACATTCAAGAAAAGGTTACAGAAGGTTTCAGCTTAGTTTCCAAGTTTTAGATCAATGCTAGTTTTCGTTTCTAATTCAGTGAGATTCTATTGCTGCTGCAGTGTAGTAAATCTTGTGTAAGACTTGATTCTGGTATGGCATCATATCTAGGAACTCTTTAGAAGGCTCTAGACGAAACAACTTCACTCAAAATCCACTAATTGCTGAATCATGCTGTCACCAAAGTAAACCTGTATCAGCTACAGTCTTGATTTGTTCTTTGTACATTGAAAAACAAAACACAAACACAAAAAAGTTTATTTGTGTTTTATCTAGTCTCTGGAAACTGTTCTCCACAGTATGGACTTTGCCCCTCCCAGCTGCCTGTCTTTCTTTTGGCCCTTTGTCTTGAATGGAAAATTTTAATTCAAATATGAAGATTTTTTAAAGGAAAAATCAACTAAGACACTTGCTTTGCAGTCTTCAAGTGAGTCATTTTGCTGCATGAAGCCATGTTGAACTCCAGAGCAAGCGTGACTGACTAACATGGTTAGCAGGAGTAGCGCATAAATCACAATTAAAGTGTGGTTTCTTTGTCTTAAGTCAAAAGTAGATAACAAGCATTCAGAAATAACTATACTTTATTACTGGGAGTAGTATTCGTAAGTGAGCCTTCGTACTTTTCTTGAATTCGATCACAGTTTTACTGAATGCATATATACATGCGTTTCACAAGGATAAGTTGAGCAGCCCATAGCACACTGACATGCGCTCCACAGTGATTGGTATGGCACGTTATAGGTATTTTCCTCAAGGAAAGTTTTAAGAGCTGCTAAAAGTATTTGATGTTGCTCCCTGTAACAATAGCCAATATGTAAGGACAGAGAAATAAATACTTGAGAAAGGAAAGTTTTATACAATGATGACGATATTCATACTGTACATGCATACCTGCTTAATTTCACCAGTGTTGTATGCCAGTAATTACTTTTTACATTTTCCCAGGTTTTCTGTTGACGTGACCCAGTATCCTGTTGTGAGCAGAGTGTATGAAGAACTGAATAAACTACCCGAGTTCAAAGTTGCTGATGCCCGCAGACAGCCAGACACTCCAGATGCTGAAAGAATTGATTAGAAATTAGCTTGCATTTAACACTTTATGGTGCCTTCATGCCCCCTTTGGGAAATGAATTTTTTTAGGAACACTTGTTTTGTTTTTTCTCTTAGTAAATGGCATTTTTATATTTTGGTTTTTTTTGCTATAGCCTACTGCAAACGTTTAAGTAGAAGATCATACTGAAGCTGTCAGTAAAGAGATAGGTCTGGAAGCTTCTTTTGTACAGGATCATGATATAATTGCCTGACAACCAATCGTTCAAAGTGCTGAGAACTGGGAGATCGAGGGCTATGTGGAGGAAGGTTGGCTTTGCGAGTCCTTACCTCCTCTAGTTCAGCTTTTCAATGTATTCTATTGAGTACATTCAAACTACATTTATTCCTGATTATTTTTATCGTGTATAATAGCTTCCTAAATGATCTGAATTGTGTGGATGAGGCGTAAAACATCTTCAATTACATTTTTTCTCTCCCAAGTTGTAAGCATATCCTTGTTTTGTGGCAGAAAGTTTTGTTGAAAATAAGCATACAGTTACATTTTCATGGTAATGAAGATAATTTTCAAGCTACAAACATGTATTACCGTACGCACCTAGATGTTCAGAAAAAATAAGACAAATTGATGAAGGTATGTTTCTCTCCAGTAACACCTCGATCTACCTCATATCTTTTATGCTTAAAATATATGATGACCTATTTGTATTGAAAGTACCACAAAACTATGACTAAAACTAAACTACTGGGCTCTCAACCCTGCAAATTACACAAGTACACGCAGTAAACTGCTTTCAAGTACGATATTTTTAGAGCACACATTTTATATCTGCTTCCTTTTCTGACTTCCAATACAATACTGGACTGAATAAATAAAAAATTATTCTGAATTTCCCTAAGCGACTACTAAGAAGACTAGCTGCCGTAGTTGCGCAATTTCACCGCTGGTTAGTGACTTCCAATGTCTAAGAGTTTGGTGCGACCCATGTTGCTACCTCACAATTTGTTCACGGTCTTGATCTTTGTCCTCCTCATGTTGTCGTGGTGATCCATAGTGCCATAATTTTACATTTATTAGTTTTGAAATCCTGATATTTTCGCAAGTCTATTTTTGCCTTATTTTAAAAGATGTACTATAAAAAGGATCGTTTTCTGATAAGCATCTAGTTCTGATTTATAATAAACGTATGAGTCATGTTAATTCAGCCCTTAGCCTAGAGGAGTTTCTGGGTCAGTCAAATTTCCCTAACAGCTGACTTCAGGATGGTACAAAACTGCTGTTATGGTTAGGCTAACATGAGTCTTGTAAGCCCTTATGATTTTTTTTTACTTCTACTCATGTTGTTAGCACAGTCCAGGCCTACACATTGCAAGAAAACGCTACATATATATATATATATAATGTAAATTGATTCACACTCGACTGTTTAAGTTTTCATTTTAATCTAAAGAATTATTTTCTGTGTATGTTCATGTTGACTACATTTTTTTTTTTTTTATTGATTAATGTCAATTTGAAATTTGTTCTTGTTCCTACTTATTGTCTTGAGGGAGATGTATATCTATATCTATGGTGAGAATCTCTAATGAAAGCTCCATGATGGGTGAAAGAAATGTTTGTGTTTACTTCTTTTTGCCTTACTGGCTGCACACTGAAAGAACTGTATTAGAACTCAAGACCTTGCTTACCTCAGATAACATATATATATATATATATATATATATATATATATATACATATATATATATATATATATATATATATATATATATATACATATATATATATATACATATACATATACCGTATAAATATATTTTGTAGATTCCTCTACTATCGCGACATGATTGAAATTAAAGACTTTGCCATTATGACTCTTTGTTGATTTCTTTTTATGTTAAAAAAAAAAACCAACACATTCACAAATGCAGTCAAGAACAAAATATATAGTCTAGTGCCAAGAAAGGAAAAGAGAAAAAGAAACGAAGATAGACCATTTAGAATAATATTTTTTTATACGTGAATGTAGTGCCTTCAAGTTACTTTAATCACCTTTTTTGACTAATGGCTGAATGAATTAACGTTGATAACTGACACAAGGTCAGGCCTTCTACTATAGCTGTGTCACAGCAGCTCATGGCTCATGCTGTTGTGCTTTATTGTTCTTCAACACTACTTGTTGGACAAGACTACTGGTTGGACAAGTTTCCTGTCAACTTCAGCGCTCATATGACCTTATGCAGTTGCGAGCGCCGTGAAACTTCTACTAAACTGTCAACTTCAATAGCAAAGTCTTAATTGCTTTACATCAGCCTTTATTTATTTATAAAAAGATCCACTCTTTTAGCATCGGCAAAGAATGTAGTGGGTTGGAAAATACATGTAAATCTGAACACAAGGATGAGAGGTACAGTTCATCACTTCTCAGTCAAAAGGATTGAAACCTGCCAGCAGCAAAAAATGTTCTTCTCCGAAATGTTCTCCTCTAACCTTCTTTTCTGGGTTTTTTTCTTGATCTGCCTTCTACTTTCATTTTTACCCCGATTTCCTCCGTTCTTCTCTCCCTTTCTCTTAATTCTTTCTACCACTATTTTTGACTCCTTCCTATTAATGTCTTTTAAGCCACACCGTGATCTTAGATCAAACACTTAGCCTGCAAACTGCGCTTATTTTTAAAGATCCATTAGTGGTCTTACAGCTTACAGTCAATAACTAGTAGGCTTCGGCCGCAACCCGAACAGAACTCAAAATTAATTTCTGTCAAAAGTGAAAATTGGCATACTCTAGTCTGTATTAAAAATAATAAGTTTTGAAATGGAGTGTGGCTGCCTGAAGGCAAGGAGGCCTACGAAGTAGGAAAAACAGTCGCGTACTTAAAAATCAGTTGCATTACAGGTTGAAGAATCAGCTGCAGTTTAGTTTCTAGTCAGAGGAATGCAAAGAAAAACAATGGAATTATTCTGAGCTGTGAAAAATTAGCCATCACCTTGAGTCAACCTGTACTATTTTGACTTATCATTACATTGTGTATTTGAAAAAGTAGCTCCACTACCCTGGGGTAGCACTTGATTATGTGTAATGTTGCAATAAGACATTCAAAACTGATGCCTCAGAGGGGTCAGGGTGCGACATTTTCTTGTGTTCTCTTTTCATGCCATGATTCCTTGTCATACGCAGACATGTGACAGAATTAAAATGAGATTTTTAGAATATTTTTGTTTACTCCACTGACTCACGTAGGAGTGGGGGCAAGTCCTGTGTTTCCATTCATTTAGAACATGATGCAATTCGTTCGGGAATTTAAATTGCGATAAGTTTCTTTAACGTTTTAAAAGCGCTGAAAGAAATGGAACATTTTAAACTTCTAAAACTGCCATCATAATTATACTGGTCATGGGTTGTGCGGCGTTGTGCAGTAAAAGTGACACTTGGCGAAATACGATCTGCTAGACCGGGAGGACATTACTGACTACACTACAGCGTCTTGCATTTACACTAAGTTACACGCTGCTCTCTCTCTATAGATCTATTGTGTGTACGATTAGATCATGGCAGATAAGGTACGTTGTACGTAAAATGCATAGGCATCATTTCAAGTTTGTTGCTATAGGATAGGCCTACGACTGTTTTGCAAATCAGCGCCCTGCAAGGCTGAACGTAGTTTGCAGGCTACATTCACGCGCCCTGAATCATCCACTGTTGGCAAAGAAGCACGACTGAAACACTTGGTCGCTCAAAGTGAATGAGGAAACAGCACATGAATACTTGCATGAAAAATAATGCAACAGAGTTTACGGAGGGCGAAGGAATGCAGAGCAAAACAGCCACAGTGGCACAGTCGACAAAAAAGCCTTTCTCGCCCTGTGCGCGGAACACGACTTCGATCCTCTTTCCGTGTGCTGACCTGGCAACACTTGACAATTTGAAAATAAAAGTCGTTCGAAGAAACAAGGAAGAATGGAAGAAGGCCAACAAGGAGGGAAGAGGGGTGGGAGGGGGTGAAAAAAAGGAGCAAAAGGGAAAAGGATCCAGGGGATGAAGTAAGCAACAAGATCATTCTTAAATTGCAAATTACTTTCAGGGCGCAGTGAACGTATTATTGTTGATGTAATGTAGCCTAGTTGTACTACTTTACAAGATCTAGATCTAGTACTTTGAATATAATGGCATGGCTCTCGGCTGTAAGATTCAAATATAATTGTTTCCATTTTGTGACTGTAGTTGGTTTTTTAAAGTTGAGGTGTGAAATTGATATATATAGATCCTAGATCTAGATCTATAGATTCTGCATTATAGACCTACAGTGGAGTCTGTTTAAACTGAAGACAGTGAATCAGAAAACAGCAGTAAATAGAAAGAAAAGAAATGCCTCAATTTTGTTTTCTATTTTGTTTTGTTTTTTTGTAAAGTGTTTTACGGCGTTCGCAACTGCATAAAGGTCATATGAGCGCGCAGGACACACCTAATATTTTCAGTTGGTAGGAAATTTTTAATTTGGCCCGGGTGGCGGCCGAAGCCTACTCTTATCGATTTTAGACCACCAAGGGATCTTTAACGTGCGCAACTTGCACACGGGTTTTTCTATTTGACCAACCTCTACTCTATAATCTAGATCTAATTAAACCGAAAAAAACAATTAACTGAACCCAAGAAAATCTGGTGATCCCACATGTCAGTTTAAGCAGACTCCACTGTAGTATATCATGTGAACAATGTGAATTCAAAAATATAAAGGTTGCTCAAAATGATTTTGTGTATGAAAATTTCAGGTTGTGCTTTATGGTTACTTCAGAAGTTCTGCTTCCTGGAGGGTTCGTATTGGTAAGTTTGTGCTGTCATAGAAATCTATTGATGTATTCTCACTTTTTTTCCCTACTGAGTAACTTGCTGCTGCTTGATATGCGTACATTTGTACTTAGCATGCGTTTTGAACAAAGGACAATCTGGCTATGCTTCAATGGAAAGTCAGTGCACAAAAATAAATAATCACTCGAAAGGCTATATTAAATTATTATGTAGACTATTCTTTGTGGGCACAGTGTGATGTCCATATATGTATCTTCAGAGAGGCATGGGGGCTCTCAATTGAAATGCACCATTGTGACTGAAGAAATCCAAAGACTCCTTCCAACAGTTACACATAGATATTTTTAATGTGCATTTGTAATTTAAGTTTTTAGAAAAAGAAACTTGTTGGCTTAAATATTTTGATGATTTCATTTTATTGTGAACCTGTGAGTCAGGTAAAATGAATTTGGGCTATTTTTTGTAACAAAGTTTTCAAAATTTTTATGCAAATTGATTTTAGTAAATTTCTCCTGCTGTTTCAACAGTGTAGGCTATAATATGTTTGCTCTTGTACTGACATTTTGGTTACATTTTCTGTTTATAACAGCTCTGGCCTTGAAAGACATCAAGTATGAATACAAAGCTGTTCATCTTCTTAAAAATGGTGGAGAACAAGTAAGTATTAAACATGACTGAAAGTCAAAATTGATTTGTTAGAAGTTTTGCTGTTTGTTTGGGTTTTTTTTGTAATTTAGTGGATGTGTCCTGCTTGTGACTTAACTGTGTAACAATCAATATTGTGTAGGCCTACATGGCAAGGATATTTCAGCGCCCCCCCCCAAAAAAAAAAATTTTTTTTAAAGAAAATATGATTAGCAAATTAGCATAAACCTGACTTTATTATGGACCAAGGGGAAAGATATGATTGGTTGGGGATGACGAGATAGAGACATGGTCTTCCTATAGTATAACGGTCATTGATTTTGTTTTGAATCTGCAGTTTAGTATGTCTTCAGTGTTAAACTGGTAAGAATTTGAGAGGGTTCTTCCTTGCCCAAAGAAATATAAACAGACTATATAAGAATATAACCTACATTAGTACCATGCAGGGCTGGGAGCACTTCACATGTGAATCCCCTACACAGGACTGATTGGCCCACTGGTGGGTATTTGCATGAACTATCTCAGCAAGTCTGAGATAAAGAGACAAGGAATGGGCAGGTATTTTTATGCGTCAGTCCATTAGGAAGATTTAAGTCAAAGACTGTGTGTGGTGACAAATACAGTGGAGAGCACATTAAATTGAACACAGTTGATACAAAAACAGCAGTAAACAGAAAGGAAATACAATCCCTGATTTTTTTTCTTCTTCTATTTGAGCAAAATTCTCTAAACTGAAAAGACGGCTAAAGCAAAGAAAATCTGAAAATCCAATAGATTTCAGTTCAAACAGATTCCGTTTTATTTTGATGAAAACTTTACGCTAGTTGACGTGTGGTGAAGTGTGTCTCTATGTCATGGTTTTCTTTTTTTAAATTTCACTAGCACTCAGAGGAATACAAGAAATTGAACCCCATGGGTCAGCTCCCGACTCTGATCATTGATGGTCTCACCCTCACACAGTCTGTAAGTATTTTGTTGCTGTAAATCTGGGCTTACTGTAGCTAGAATAACCACTAAGAGTTGTGCTTGAACTGACTGCTAAACTATGCAAGTCATATAATCATAATGCCTATTCCACATTCTGTTGCCGCACGTTTTGATTGAAAGTATTCATAATATAATATGTTAGCATTTTCATCTTTGAAAAAGAAAGGTTTCAAGCCGCACGCTTTTAGTACCCACCAATATAATGAGGAAAGAATGAAGATTTGATGTATGAGGACACAGTTTTAGTACAGGCAAGCAGATATTTATAATAATAAATGAGGGAAACAAAACAACAACAGAAATTAGCGGTACAGCGTCTTTTGAGCAGATTCGTTAACTTGTAAAATTGACAGTTCATTGATTACACTATTGCTTTTTATCGTTCATGAAAAGAAATACCACTTTCATTTTCCTGTTGTAAGCTGGCTAACTGTCGAAGAATGATATGCGCGCTCATAAGACCTTATGCCGTTGCGGGCGCCGTAAAACTTTCACTAAACTAACTTTTTTTTAAAGTGATGTTGTTGTGGCTTTCTTAGATAAATTAAAAGGACTTCTTTTTAATATAAGTATATTTGCATTACATTCCTTGCTGTGAGGCAAATTATCATGCCTTGCGAGGTTCAAAGGTGGGCACTTATGAAATGAAAGTGAAGGAAAGACTGCAAGGTGAATTTAATGTGGTATGACTTGAAAAATATCTGATTTGTTACTTTTTGTAGGTGTATATATCATGCATTGAAAGGTACATGATACTAGATCTAGTACATGGACTCTGGAATCAAACTTACAGGTACTAAATAAATATTATCCCAGGAGTTCATACGATGATCTTTTTCCAATGCTGTCATAGTGTTTTGTTGCATTTGTTTGATGTGCTTTGTCCTTTCCCTTATGCTGCCTCCCTTTATCCATTCCAGCTAGCGATAATGGAGTACTTGGAGGAGAGAAACCCAACCCCAGCTCTGTTGCCTCCAGATGCTGCAGGCAGAGCTCAGGTACAGAAAGTCTCCTTTTTTTTTTCTCTGCAGAATGAAGGAGTTAGTGTGCAGTGTCATTGGGTGGGCTTTTGTTTTATGACAGAAAGCAAAATTATGCAGGAGGAAAAAAAACTATTTCATTCTTTTACAAATTATACCTGAACTGTGAATCTTTTCTCCCTTTTTCAAAATTTCGACCAAATATTTCAGGACCACATGCAACTGATACCACGGATGAAGAAACTGCAATAACATTTTGGAGTTAGTGCATGCAAACAACTGACCTATAAAATGCTATTGTTGAAACATTAAAGACCAGTCTTGAGCCTTGCATTCTCAACTATGGGGATAGTGAAGTATGGCTGTCATCATGCCACATTTAGCAAAACAGTTTTTGTCTGATTTCTGAATCCACATTGATATGCAGTCTCAACAGCTGGTGTCTTCTTTTTTTGTAAGGAGTGATTTTAGATGCTTCCTACAAGTACTAGCCTACTGCTACCTCTTGCTCTGTTCTCCTCACTCTCTAATCTTCTAAATGTTCCTTAAAGACACTTTATAGGTGGTTGGCGGGTGTAATGTGGTTTGCTCCTTCTTTCCTATAAATTTCTTTCGTCCTGATCTCTCCTCCTTCTTTTTTGTGTTTGTTACTCTCCTGAAACACTTCTAATCTTTGGCACTTATATTACCTTATTGTGTTGCAAATTCGTAAAACTCTTACTAAAACTAAAGACACTTTCCTTTTTCTCATTAACTTCATCCTTTTATCCTCGTGCATATGTAAAAAACAAGAGCTGGAAAGAAGACCTAAGTATGACCATAGAAGACTACTGCATACCAGTTCAAGGCAGTACGAATCAGCATCCTTGCCGTTATGAAATTGAAACTGTTTGGTTAGTCACTTCTGCACGCTGACATTTTCTAACGAGCTCTTTGTTTTTCTCAGTTTTTTCTGGAGGGAGTTTCAGCTTTCGATCATTTCCTGATAAATTCTCTGATTTTCTAACTGTCACCAGGTGAGAGCTTTATCTGAGGTCATCAACAGCGGAATCCAACCACTGCAGAACTTGAACGTCCTTCAGAAGATTGGTGACACCAAGGTGGAATGGGCCAACTTTTACATTACAAAAGGTTTTAAGGGTAAGTGACTTATTCAGATTTTTTTTTCCTGCACTACTTATTGTATGTTAGTCTACTTTCTTACTGTAAAGCACTGATTCTATTTTTCTTCTTTTTTTTTTTCTATGGGTCCTATTTAGAAGGAAAAAAAAAAGACAAATTGAGGGGAAAGGAAATATGGGCTTTTCAGAGTTAACACGAATGGCATTGAATATTACGAGTATTTGTAATTTGTATGGATCTTACCTTCACCCTTTGGAATATGTTTTGAGCCAGTGCTTTAGAATTTATGACATCTGTACTGGCAGAGTGTGAGTGGGCCAAGCCTTGCATGTATCATCGTGTTTGTTTACATAATGATACAGAAAAATAGTGTGTATGTGCATAAGTAAATGCTGTATATATTTGTGTGCGAGAGGTGGGAGTGTTGTTTTTTTCCCTTGGTAAGAGTTTTACAGAGCTTGCAACTGCATAAGTTCACATGAGTGCAGGTGAGGGGGGAGTGTTCTGGCATGTATATTGATGTATGTTTGTTTAATATGTTGTTAGAGTTCAGCAGCATACAAAAGCATTCTGTCCTCCTTCAATGTGTTGGACAAAGAAGAAATTAACCTCTCAAGGAAATGCAAGAAACCTTCAAACTCCATCTCTGCTGTCATTCTTAAAAGTACAGTAACATGCAGTTTGTACAATTTTTCAGGATAGACCAAAAACTGAATGTTGTTACCAACAAAACAATATTTCCTTTAATTTGAAAAAAAAAAAAATCAACCTTTACTATAATCTAAAGGTAAATAAGGAAGTTATTATCAAAATTGTATTTTTTTAAATATTGACTGGGGATGTTTGCAAAGAGTTTGTTTCGTGGTAACAACAACATTCAGTTTTCTGGCTCACCTGTAAAATTGTTTAGAAATGATAGAAGACTTCTGCCAATTTATCTTTTGTCTGTATCCCAGTAGCCAGGATGGTAGTCTCTGAATGAACTGAGATCTGAAAATGTGTTTACTTTTCTTCAGCTCTGGAGGCAATGCTTGAGAAAACCGCTGGCCAGTATTGCTATGGCAACCAGATGACAATGGCCGACCTATGCCTTATACCCCAAGTGTATGGAGCACAAAGGTAAGCATTGTTCTGTTGCTGTTCCGACAAATCAAGAGTACAATATACACCACCAAATCAAAGTCGGTTTTTAGCCGGTGCTCTGGTGTAGTTTGCTCCTTTTTTCCTATCGAATATCTATTGTCCTTATCTCTCCTCCTTCTTTTCTTTGTACGTTTCTTTCTTGTTATTACAGTGATACCTCTAATCTTTGTCACTTTCATGACCTATTTCTTGTGTTGCTAGTGCCACTCTTACTTCAACTAAAAACCAAATGAGTGAGAGTTTTAGCAAACTTCTCTTTGTCTTAACTTCCAGTATTACCTCTCAGTAACTAAATCCAAATGAAAGTGATAGGTGGTGGTTTCTTTAAAAAGAATACTTTTTTTTTTCAAAGAAGTTCTGATTCAAATGAGGAAAGTTTAAGAAGCATCTCTGTAATTTGAATTCAAAACAGCTTTTCAAAGTTTGTTTGTTGTGATATATAGATATATATGTACGTGCGTGTGTGTGTGTACATATTTTAACATTTATTTTTGACACGTCTGTTTTGTTTCAGATTTGGTGTTGACGTTAAGAATTACCCTGTGATAATGAGGGTGTATGAAGAGCTGATCAAGTTACCGGCCGTCATTGCTGGGGACGCCTTCAGGCAGCCAGACACCCCAGAAGATCTGAGAGCTAGTTAAAGTTACAGAAATTGTTAACATTAACCGTGTGTGCCTCCTCTCTAAGATCTGAAAATCTGTGTTTAAAAGTGTGTTATTTGTCTGTTGCTGTTATGTTATAATAATTTTTTATTGTTATTACTATTATTATTATTATTAGCCTATTATTTTTATTTATGTGGTCATTATCATTGAAATTTTACAAAAACATTTTCCTGTATTAAAATTATAAAAATCTTTTGAACACCCAGGTTACTTGCTATTTTTATCTGTTATCTGAGGAGTCCATTGGTCAATCCAGCTAACTTCTCTACGATGCATTTATAGAATCTCGCCCTTGACAACGGAAGCATAGATCAGAGAAAAAGCACCAACCTACAGCAGTATGCCTCTAATTAGCAGATTATCTTGTTTGTTGATGAATATAATTCTAAGGAATGGATAGTTAATGCATTTACATTTTGTGGTAATTTTATTTTATTTACTTTTTCTTTCTTTCATTGAATGACTTCAAGAGCAGCTAAAGGTCATGTGTTATATATACATTTTACCATATCGCACAACTACATGATGTATTTCTTGTCACAGTTATCACTTCTTTGTATTCTATTGTCAAAATAGTCCAGATGACATAATATATACTCCTGATAAATGAGATTACAATGACAGAAACAATGTTTCAAACAGTTAAGCTAATATTTTACTTTCACTCCCATCTCGTGCCTGGGTATTGTACTGAACTTTTAAAGTTCTTTTTTATCCCGTTTTGCACAAATTTTGACTTTAAAACCATCACAAATTGTTTTTAAATTTTAGTTGATTTTTTATTAGAACTATATTGCACTGGACCTAAGTGCTTATGTCTCACCTTTTTTTTAAATCTTGGAGATTTCAGAGGGTAGCCCCATTCTGAGGTACAAAAAATCTAAGATGTTTCATGTTTGAAATTTTCTTGAAAGTAATTGATATGCGACAATTTTATTGGCTATATGTGTGTTCGTTCCACAACCAAAAGCAGTGCATGGGGGTGCGGATGTGAAAGAAAAAATTTACCGCCATTAATTTTGATCATACTCTTCCAGAACTAAATTTGTCTGGGTTTCAGATTGTGTTTCGCCCTATCACTCACCTAGCATGCATGCAAAGGTTTTTGTCTTGGATAGGGATATTTTTAAGATCTCCGAGACAAGTCAATGGCAGATGAAGTGGAGAAAATATAGTCTTGTTTGTGTGAACATATGTACTGTCGTTGTATTAAGTGTGGGCATTTTGGCCTTCAGGAATTCCTTGTAACGGTTCTTTCTTGGAGCTTTTCTTTTCAGGATTTTATTATGAATAAGAGCATTCTGTGTTGCTATTCATACCAGTGATAAAATAGTGTTGTTATGTTACCAGTGATGGTCTACAAAGATTTCTATAAATTTAATCATAAATGATTCTGAGTTGTTGCATCCTTTTATTTTAGGTTTCATTGTATTTTGAAATCATTGGAAATTACCCTCTATCAATTTATATTTCTACATTATGCAGAAGAAAAAAAGTACTGTATTACGCCAGTGCGGATTCCCAGTTTTATCTCCTTTGTTTTTTGTCTTGTATAATATCTCACTTTCAAGGATCTGGGCTTCCTTTTTTTGCCCATGTTGAGATCATGTGTACAATTACCTTCAATATTTCCTCTGTTGCTGAAATGATTCCTACATTCCTATGAGATTGCAATGTGATTTTTTAAAAAGGGTCCCTAAAAAATGTATATGTTTCTCATTGAGATTTAATAACATTCATGTGTATTTTACATCAGTGCAATGGCATTGTGCTTTTTGCTTTCAAGTTTTAAAATTTCCTGAAATTGTGAACCATATTATGAGTACCTCCAGATTTTGCCTCTATACAAATAATATACATATGTTTTTAAAACTTTAGAAACATAGAATATTTGGAGCACAAGTAATGTTTTAGGACTGCACACTGCTGAAAAACACTTGCCACAAAAGATTCATAGGTGAATACTGAAAGTTTATTCACACCGCCATCAAAATCTCCCAAGTTTTTTACTTACAGATTTACATGCATGATACATCTCACAGAGATAGGAATAGTCCTGTGGGTTAACAAAATGCATGGAATGCAAATGTGTGAACATCTTTTTTCGTTTTCATGAAATGAATGTTCTTGTGATGAGAATGTTGAAATATTATGCAATTAAATAAAGGAGCCAAGAACTGCAATAAATTGATACTCTCAGACTCTTTTGTATGAACTGATCAAGAAGTAAAAACATGTGTACTGTTTGAAATTATGTTTTGTAAAAGTAGCATTTTGATAGAAAGACAAGATATCTTTCATCTGAATCTATTGCATACTGTCACAGACCCATTTTCTTTTCATTTCAATTGATTTTTACAGTGGAGTCTGCTGACACCGAAATCTGTGGGACCACAAGATTTTCTTCAGACTTAACTGCGTTTTCAGTTTAGAGAGGATGCTCAAACAGCTAAGACAAAAATTTAGGCTCTGTTTTCTTTCGGTTAACCGCAGTTTTCAGATTGATCATGATCGGTTTCAGCTGATTCCGCTTTATTTGTTTGTGCTATTCCAGTTAAACTTTTGTCTCTGTTCCTGATTTTGCATGACCCAAGTCATCCTGTTCTGCAGATACATGACGAGTATAAATTTGAGTGCAGTAACTTCTGTGGTGTACTACTCTTACGCAGTTAAATGTGAAAAACAAATGTGTCCATTTTTCAAGTGACAACTCTGGAATGTTTATCAGAGTCTGAGTGATACAAAAAAGAGTGTGGGTGGTTGGAGGGCGCCGCTTGTAGGTCCTACTTCTTTTCTTTCCCTCTGTTGTTTTTGTCTGTCTGTCATGTCTTTCTTTTTCACTGCACTTAATGACCGATATTGTGTCTGTGCTTTTGTTCACTCAACCAAAACAGTGCGCTTGCAGCTATGGCCTAACTTTTAGTACCGTATACAGAAGGCCATTCCTCGTTTGTAAGCAGCCAACATTATCTGCCAAGTTTTCAGCCTCACAAAGTTCCCTGTAACTCCGCTCCTGTTTAGCCTATTTGCATAAAATAAACACCCTCACTGAGCAGAAATGAATGATCCAAGAAGTAAACATACAGTTTGAATAATTATTTAAGATAAGATGGATTTACTACAAGGTTTGATAGATTTTGGTTATAATGAATGACTAAACAACAGTGATGCTGTGTACCCGCTGAACAGGCTCGCCGTTTACTATAAAGTATAAAGAGTTAACTCTTTATCTTTAATGGCGTAACGGATACATGAGTCTGACCAGCAGAAGACTGAAGGGAATGTTGCGGCGGCACATTTAGAGCCACCTTACAGAAATAAATAAGCAACACAAATTTGTAAATTTCATGGTAGGCCCCTACGCATTATGTTGTTCCCAGGTTTTTAAAGTTCAGATAAAGAATGCGGAAATGAAAAATCGGTATATATGAATTTCTAAGTTATGCGTGTTCTTTTAAAGTGACCGAAAACAGTGCGGTTCTTTTAGTAAGTCTTATTGCTTGTGGGTGGTTGGCGGGTGCTCTGGTGTGGTTTGCTCCTTCTTTCCTGCCAAACATCTATCGTCCTGATCTCCCCTCCTTAATCTTTTTTTTGTGTTTGTTACTCTCTTGTAACACCTGTAATCTTCAGCACTTATATGACCTTATTGTGTTGCAGCGCGGTTCAGTGAGTTAAAGGGTCAAGAAAGCCATGAGTCAGCATAATGACCGTACTTTTGGCCAGGTGCGACACATAATTAGGATTCCCTGTTAAGACTTCTCTGTTGACACCACCCCCCACCCCCCACCCCCACCCCCCTTGGCGCTCATATGACCTTATACAGTTGCGAGCGCCGTAAAACCCTCTACTATAAAAAAGATAATTAGGATAGAGAGGTGACAATAACGAGCAGTAGACTGGGAACGGGCCGCCCCACGTACTTCTCCACCGACTGTCCACTGGCTCAAGGTCAAAGAGTTCATGTTTACAACACAGGCTACAGCGTAGGATAGTACTGTGGTAGAGTGTATCATCATAGATTAGAAGGCAAAACGCTAGTGATGCAACTTGCTCGATATCTTGGAACTCTCTCTTTCTCCCCCCCC